GGAAGAGAAAGTGGGGACCCTCCGAACAGCTGTCCATTCGACTCTAGAAAGTGAATGATTTTCAAATCTGATTCAAACGTATATGATTGCATTAATTTTTGAAGTTTTAGATGTAAAATCGAGCAACAGAAAATGGCGGTTTTGAAAATCAAAATTGGCGAATCTAGAAAAAAAAATCAAATAAACGCAAAACCGTTCTCACTTTCTCCGATCGCCCGGTATCCTTTTAAACAAAAAACACAAACTGTTCATCTGCGAGACGCGTTGTTGACTTGTTCTTTGTTAGGTGTTGTTGTTGAACGCGACAAGACCGACCGCTCCGTATGAGCGTCAATCTGGTCCTTCGAGCCGGATCGACCGAGACCGCGGTCCGTCTCGTTGCCGTTCGCTGTCTCTTATAAACGTGGACGATGTGGATGTAGATAACGTTGTTGTTAAAATGGAGAGGGACGATTTTGAGTTTTCTTCTTTTTTTTATTTTAAATTTAAGTTTCGCGTTTCGGGGCGCCGACGAACGACCGATCGTCAATTATTTTTCACATTTGTAAATCGCGGACTGTGCTAAACGTCAATTCTTTGTCATGCGCGAGAGTCTGTTCTGCAGTCGCCCCCCACCTCTCCTCCGACTAACGTCGACGGCGACCTCAATGGTAAATGTTAACAGTGATATAGCTGCTATATCAGGTGCCTCATTTTTTTTTCTCTAAATCCGTTAATATATTATGAATATTAATTTTAAGGAAATTATATGAATATAATAATATAAATCACATATTGCTGTTTCACAAAAATAAATACGAAAAAAAAAATACGCCGGAAGTTTTAATTTCGTTCCTAGTGCGAGCATATTGCCGCTTATCCCAGGCACTGCTAACGACTAACCATTCAAAGTGAGTGAAGTGACGTCAAAAGATAAGAATAATAATAAAAGAAATGCGGGTAAGTATACAAATATAACAAACATCAAAGCCGACGCCTACAATAATATAAAAGTCCAACACCTTGTAGATTCTTATTTTTTATTCTTTTTTACACAAAACTCTGAATAACAGTAGCGATACTGACGATTTTTTAAGGGGCTGATAATTTATTATTATTATATTTAATATTTTGGATGTTAATAATGATACTATGTAGAAATGCAATGAAATAGAATAAATTGTTACTAGGTACTAAGTTTTTTACGTACATGTTTCAAGAATTGCTCGGCGAGAAAGATTGACAACAGACTTATATCCCGTTTGTTAGTAGATAAATAAAAAAATAAGGGTCTACTCTGCAGGTTGTTCTGTAAGGGGCTGCAATTTTGGAGTAATAAATAGTAGGCAAAGTTAATCACGGGGTCGGTTGTAAAAGCACTATAATTTTGGTCCAAGTGTACCCGTGCAGCAGAGACAAAATCAGATATAACTCTCCCCAAATTGCGTTTTTTAATAAAAAAAAAAATAACAAAAAATGGTTAATATCAGGGTTAGTTAAAAGAAAATATTTTAGAGCTAAAAATTAAAAAAATAAAAAAAAAACTTGTCACCGGAAAAAACTTTTACGTAAAATTTGATGCTGAAGCTGCTGATGCTGAAACTGCCATTTTCGATGGGTTCATGATTACTTTTACACTGACAATTTCTTTCAATGTTGTTCGTTGTGCGTGTGTATTACGTCAAAAGTTTTTGTTCAGTTCAATTTTATATCAAAATTTTTGTATGGAAATCCTCAAAGATAGTTAAAACTGGTCAGTGTAATTTTAGAATTTTTTTAAACCAATTTAGGCCTCTTTATTATTTTTTTTAAATATTGTATAACTTTAATTTTTCCGTAGAACAGACAGGGGTTTAAACATTTCAAACTTTTCAACTAAAGAGAACAAACTCAGCCAGAGAACAAACACTCGACCAAAACAACAAAATCGATCATGCTTGGCCTCTAAATAACCAAGTATTAATTATTATTTCAGAATTAAGAAACATTTAGACATACGAAATCAATATGTGGACGTTTCGAAAAAGTTTTGCTCCCCCTTCAAAAGGTAATTTTCAATTTTCTCACAAATTTTCAGTTTCTCGTCGATCTGGCCAGTTAGACAAAAAAAAACGTAGCGAACGCAAGACCCGGATTCCAATTTTCCATTACCCGCTCCATCCCATCCCTTACGTGCGCGATCCCCGTTAATGTTTATCTTTGTGTTGCCCGCGGGGGCGGGTAATCCGTCAAAAATTTTTATTGAATTTTTCCCTTGATGTATTTTAAATCTAAAATCTGCTACAGAGAGAGAGCAAATGGCCCATTAGCGTAGACACAAAAGTATAATAATTCATCTCCTTTTCTTACTTGCAAAAAAGGTCGGTGGGCGCTCGGAGGGGGCTGGGGGGAGCCGGATCGTGCTGCGTCACGTCCGACGTTGCCACATTTGGTGCGGGTTATTGGAAAATGTGAAGTATTTAAATAAGTTATCTCTTTCTATTTCAATTTTTAGATGTGGTTCTTTGTTCCGTAAACACTTACAAGGTGTCTGCTACCAAGAAATTTTACATATAAAATTAACAATTATTTTTACGTGAAAAATAATTTTCAGTTTCAGTAAATTTGAATTAAGTTTAACCTCGGTAAAAAAATGTAGTGTCTGAATTACGAAAAGTGGCAAATACATATCTAATATTAATATTTTTTTAAAGAAAACTGTTTAGATTCACATTTTCAAAAGTAAATATATTCACATAATATTCAACTAAAAATGTTAACTGTAGAGAATCTTTGGATGAGCAAATCAATTCGAATCCCAGTTTATTGTTGAGCAAAAAATCAACAACCTTGTCGAGAAAATTCCAAAATTTGAAGATAATTATTAATAATTTTAGTCGGCATTTAGGCCTCAGAATCAAAATTTTAAAAAATCGGCTTCAAAAACAAAAATCCAAAAAAACAATTAGAAATATTTTGCTCGAAAAAATTACATATCGTGTCCACCGACGAAAAAATCTTCATCCCCATATTTCCCGATTTCACGTAAAAAGCTGGAAACTGCGGCAACGTCGCGGAGCGTTGTGTTGCGGGGTCGGGGGAGCCCGCTATCCATCTGCTCGTATTCTTTGAGCGGGATCCTTTAGAAACGTTTCGTTCCGGAATCATCAGTCAGCGTCACTTCCGGTACAATGACGGAGACCGGAAGCTTTGTTCCCCCGGAGGCACAGTCCGGAGACTCGCCGAAGCAGCAGCAACCGCCACGGAAATTACGAGATTAACGTTATATTGAGTGCGTTAGATTGCGTAACGTCATTTTCTCGAACTCCATTTCAACTTTGTGTTGAGCTTTTCAGCCACCTCACAAAAACTAACGTAACCAAAACTAAACCAACGCGACCAACCCCGAACGTTTGCATTTAATCGGTTGCCAACTACTTTCCGACATTTTGTTTTCTCGGTTTACTTTGTCAACTAACCAAAACACTGTATATTAAACAGATTGTGGCAAAAAATGGGTAACATTGGAGAATATAATTCGTAGTTAAGTTGAAAAGCAATATATATTTTGTTCCTTCAAAAAGTCATTAAAGTGGGTTTTTAATGAATTTTTTTTTAAAAAATACATTAAATAATTTTTAAAAAAACTTGTGTAGTTTATTTAGTTTAGATTAGTTTACAGTTCTGGTTAGCTTTTTTAGTTCGGTTATTTTTACCGCCATTTATCGACATTTTCGACTAAAAATAGTCTATTGTAAGAAAAGAACCTTCTAAGACTTATCTCAGTGCGAGAAACTCTTTGCCTAATAATAAAAATTTACGCCTTCTCAAACAAAACCAAATATTTTCGAAAAACGTTATTTGCATAACAGCGGCGACACCCGTCGTCGGTCCTCGGATTAACTCGAAATTAAAATTGTATTAAAACGAATCCTCGAAGACGATTCTTAATTCACTTTTTAGATCTTTTCCGGCGGCTTAGTCGCTCTTTAGTTTTAATTTTCCGCGACGGAGGATCGTGACACGACCAAGTTTTCCGCTCTTTATGGAGATGCAATTTATTACGACAGCTGAAGTCAGAAAGTTTTCCCTCAAACAATCCGAAAAACTTGCGGTCTTCGAGGACATAAAACATCTTAATTAAAAACTTGAGAAAAGATTTTAGTCTCCCGTTATTCCACGGCCCGCAGAAAAAATGTATTAAAGTAATACGCTTCGCGAGTTTTCAATTTCGCGTCACTTATGAAAAAAAAGACATGTTCCATGAAAAAAAACTATGTGGCAGCGGTGGGATTCGAACCCACGCCTCCGAAGAGACTGGTGCCTTAAACCAGCGCCTTAGACCGCTCGGCCACGCTACCCGATGAAAATCTGTGACTACAACACTGTTTTTAGACACGTCGCAGATTATTTTTAACATCTAACTAATGCGGCCATCGTAGGCCCGTGGAATTCAATTGTATTCCAAATTGAAAACTAAAGGTGCAATACGCAATAAACAGCATCAGAAAATCTAAATCATAAGAAAGCAGGTTCAGGCAGATATTAATTCCTTTCAACCTATACAAATTATTACCTAAATACGAAAAGCGGTCTATCTAAATGGTGCTTAATAATCAAACCAACAATTATTAACATGACTATTACTATGAGAACGCCTAAAAGTTGGCCAGAATTTTAAATAGACGAATTCCAATATTTACCAAACATTGAGCGCCATCTCTGGTACAATCGCCTAACATGTTGTACTCGTCTCAACTACTCCCGTCTGGATGGCAGCACATTCTTTAGAAAGTTAGATATTTTTGTTACTTCTCTTTTCGACTTTCCGAACTGTCGCTATTAACTCTTGGACGACATATTTAGAAAAATCTTGTCGCACACAAACTATTCGTATTTCGCACGATCAAAACGAATCTTAACGCCGACTTTGCATCATCAAGGGAATGGAGGAAACTGCCTTTTTAATTCAAACAGATCTAATTTACGACGTCCGACCGCGTTATCCACGACGTATGTCAAGAATCCATAAAATATCCTGAAAGTTTGCGCATGACCCAAGCAAAAAGGTCCTTGCCCGTTGCGTGGGTACCTTGTTTATGGGAATCGCGTAAATTTTTCGATTTAATTGTGGCAAAATCGGTAGATGGATGATCCAGCCAGAATGTTAAGCCACACAGGAGCCGGTTTGATGCCGCCACAACCGTACGGTATGGGTCAGCAGGGCGAGACGCCATCGGGGGGCGACAATGAACCCCGCAAACAAGACATCGGCGAGATTCTGCAGCAGATTATGAACATCACAGATCAGAGTTTGGACGAGGCCCAAGCAAGGAAGCACACTCTAAACTGCCACCGAATGAAACCCGCTTTGTTTTCCGTTTTGTGTGAAATTAAAGAGAAGACTGTGCTGTCTTTGAGGAATACACAAGAGGAGGAGCCCCCAGACCCGCAACTCATGAGGTAGGTCTGAGAACAATGACTCGTCGATGTACATGCAGCATTTGCACCTTTTCAGGCTGGACAATATGCTTATCGCGGAAGGGGTGGCCGGTCCAGAGAAAGGCGGTGGCGCCGGGGCTGCTGCATCAGGTTCCGCGGCAGCACAGGCCGGACAACCCGATAATGCCATCGAGCACTCGGATTACAGGGCGAAACTTGCTCAGATTAGGCAAATTTACCATCAGGAGTTGGAGAAATATGAGCAGGTAACAATGTTGTTTATAGGATAGCATTATTATTTGATAAGCAAACATTTTCAGGCCTGTAACGAGTTCACCACTCACGTGATGAACCTGCTCCGTGAACAATCACGAACCAGACCAATAACCCCGAAAGAGATTGAGAGGATGGTCCAAATCATCCACAAAAAGTTCAGCTCCATTCAAATGCAGCTGAAACAGTCCACTTGCGAGGCAGTCATGATACTGCGGTCCAGGTTCTTGGACGCTAGGCGAAAACGACGAAACTTCAGCAAGCAGGCGTCGGAAATTTTAAACGAGTACTTCTATTCACACTTGTCCAATCCTTATCCCAGCGAGGAAGCCAAAGAAGAGCTGGCGCGGAAGTGCGGTATTACCGTGTCACAGGTCTCGAATTGGTTCGGCAATAAGAGAATTAGGTGAGTCTCGATATGTGCGGTGCCAAGGCGAAATTTTTTTGTGATAATGGTAGGAGTGTTTTTTTTTTCTCAAAAATTTTTAATTTTCGTGCAGCGCCAATCAAAACTATGGAAGTCACTGCTTACAGGAGTCGGGGGGTCGGTAAACCACGGCATATTCGCAATTGCATTAAACGTTTTCATGCACGCTAGAGAGTTAGGTTAGGCGCGACACTTCTTCTTCTTGTGTGTCTATAGTAATATGGAAGCAAGGGTAGCTGTGTTTGTGTTAACGTTTATTGGTACATTATTCATTATCATTTTTTGTAATGTGTGGTTTTGTAAAATGCGAAGCATTATTAAATGGAACTTTAAATGGGTCTACTGCAGGAACTGATAACTAACATAATTAAAGCTGATTGGTCAGTAAATTGCAAATATTGCTAAAAGTGGGTTTGGTAGTTTTCAGGAATAAAACTTTTTACATCATAAGCTGATCCAAATTGAGTTGAGAAAAGTTAGGGTAGTTACAGGAATTTCCTAATACCCACTTTAGTTCACCATTGTGATTGGTTAGTTGATTATAGGAGCAAAAAAGCGCGGAATTTGTTTAAAATTAAATCTTTAGTCTCGAAATCCGTTAGATTCCGTTTTAAGTGTAGTAAACATATTGAGTGTAAATAAAAATAAATAAAAGCAGTACTCCCTTGTGGAAAAAAAACACTACAAAAAGACCACTAATTTAAAATGGGCGAAATGTAAAATTGTTCTTGTTTTCTTGGTTTTATTTATTTTTTGTGTAGCGTAATCCTCTAAAAAAATATATAAAGACCACAAAGGAAAAGGTAACTCGCCATCGACTTATCGGGCAGCCAAATCATCAGCATCCATGTCAATTTATCTCGGAATAGGCTCTGATTGGGGCACAAGCGAACTTGCGATCGGACTAGATTAGATAGTAGTTATTTCTCACTCGGGAAACACAGTTCCATACTTTTGATTGTCACTGCACAATAATTGACATCTGATATGTGGACAAAGAAAATTTTCTTTGCCAGGTACAAGAGGAACACAGGTAAGCCAAATTATCGATAATTCGAACTCTCTAACGCCCCCCAGCTCTTTTTTTCTGCAACGAACCGGGACGTTTCGCGCGGAGATATAAAAATAAAAACAATCGGCCGAGAAAAAGAAAAAAGAGTGTACCGTGGAAATTTCGAATTTTCCCCGTCATTGTTGCCTCCAGGTACAAAAAGAACATAGGCAAGGCGCAAGAGGAGGCGAACCTGTACGCGGCCAAAAAGGCGGCGGGCGCCTCGCCCTACAGCGGCACCCCCACCCCGATGATGTCGCCCGCGCCCCCCCAAGACTCTATGGGCTATTCGATGGGCTCCGCTTACGATCAGGGCTCCGCCTACGACGCGAGCAGTTGCGGTTACGACCCGATGCACGCCCAAGAACTCTCGCCCTAAGTTCGTCCCAAATAGTTTTCTAGGTTTAGGTTAAACGCGATTTGTCGGACCGGCAAGGATAGTGGACTTGTTTCTATGGATCCCGGTAATAACCGAACGAAAAATTTTAGACCCCGGAAAAACATTTCTCGTGCATTCGGAGCAGTTGGCGCCTTTATCGTTTTCTAAAAGCAATAATCGAATCAAAAGGAAAAATAATCCAATACGCCATTAGCAAAATGGCTGTTGCCATGTGATCGCTAAAAGTGGGCAAGAGATTTTTCCAAATTTAACTTGAATTTAATTGTTTTTTTTTTTTTTGTATCGTATGTTATAGAAAGCTGTTTTATTGAAATTGTAAAGGATTCCGTATTTACAAATATCCGAAAGTTATAACGTTTCTCCAACTTATAATTCCCAAATTTATAAGGTCTGCTGAAATATGGCTACTAGATATATAAACATATATATAACATGCCGATAATGTAGGAAATTTTGTGCATTTCTAGCGGCGTTTAAGAACCAACATGGCTGCGGAGATTTGCTGAAAACGGTTTCAAGTTAGCGCGTGCACTAATACCTGTCTCTACGTAAATTTCATAGCCGTCAATTTTTACCGTCCTTACGGATACCGTTTTACCTAATAAATAGTAAATAATATTACAAATACGCTTGGTTACCTTGCATTTCTTGAAGCTTAAACATCAATCCCCTTTAGGTCTCGTCGGACGTTCCTTAATTTTGATCCATCGTCGTCTACAACCGGCTTCCATACTTTCTCGCGAAAACGTTTTTTTCCGCAGCACGCCACTTATAAAAATATAACTTATCCGTCGCGATTTTTGGGAGCGATGATATTACTACGTTACGTCGAATTTCACTATTTAAAGTAACTGATGACGGTCTAGTAACCCATGAAACTCACGTGCAATGTAGGTAACCATGGTAACCTCAGACGTCGTGGTAGTGAGGGGGTAAGATGTCGCATTCTTAGAGATTGATTGTAAAAATCAAAAATGCCTTGGCAAAGGGGCAGCCTGAACTATTTACGTTTGATATTTAAAATGTTTGTCAAACCTACTTCGATCCGAGGTGGTCTGGTGATTAAAGTCATTTGATTTGACATCGGACTACCCGGAAGTTGCGGGTTCAGATCCGAGGCTAAGCGTGATTATTTTTTCTGTTTATATACTAAAATAAATTACTAAAAATGCTTTTCCTCTCTCGATGCCGCATATAGACGCTTAACACTGTCCATGTCAAGTCCGACGCCCCTGAAGTATACCGGCTTATGTATACCAAGCAATCGTATACTGTAATTTAGGAACATGTGCATTATTTTGTTTAGTATTATTGGTGCAGTCAACAAAATATACACCAGGTTTCCATTTTTGAGGTTTCTGCGTGGCGCTATGGGTTCCTAACCTAGAATTACGTCCGATGTTCCCGATCATGGAAATGTGGTGCGTATTTGCACAGCGATATAATTTGACAGGAGTGTAACACTTATCGAGGCTTTAATGAAGCGTCAGTTGTTAGTGTAAGTGAAAAGATTAATTATTTTATACATAACCCTTATGTAACGCGTTTCTGTATTTTGCAAAAAATATAATGTGTATTAAAACCTGCAAGGCTGCGTTTTCGTTTAGCGGTAACTCACCCATTGGAAGGGATAAAAAATAATAATAGTCGGCCTTTCAAAATAAATATATTTTCGACGTCTACCTATATACAAAATCTTAACGTCACTAGAATAAATAAAGGATACGTTTTCGGTTTCGAAATAATGCTCTGTTATCACCTGGATTATAGCACAATAAAAAAGATATCCGTTTCTTGGAACATTGCGGGCGCAACTACCGACGATAATAATGACAGAGAAGCGACTCAAAATTTTTGGCAATGGCAAATTAGAAGATGATAACAAACCATATTCTCTGGCCACGAGAACGTTGAATGTTTGTTAACCCTGATATCTCTTGACGGTCGAAGTCTGTCACCTCGATGTCATCACGTAAGCCTAGGATTCGCTGACGTTGTCCATTCATTGTAGTAAGATATTTGTCGGCCATAGAGTACAAACTATGTTCATTTTTTAATAAAAAAAATATATTTTTAAAAACGGTGTTGTCCTATCGAATAAGTTAACTGGCGCAGTCGGTAGGATTTCCGACACGTTCAGAAACACTCAGTCCCCCGACGCCATCACTTTCCGGGATACTGCTTAACTAACTAGTACCTTCAGAGCTATTTTATTAATATCGTCTTGAAACAGTTTCTGAACTTTTTAAAAAAGCTTCCGAAAAGATATAATGGTTAAAAGTGTTTACAATTTCATTTAAGTCGGAGAAAAAAAATGGTTTAACTTACTACGGGAACAACGTTGCCCATATTTTTCTATAAAATCTTGCGTCTCGGATGGCGATTATTTATCTTATTTTTTACATTGTGGTCGTATCGAAGTTAACTAGTGTAATAAAAGAATTCGTCTGCGCCGCTGCCCCCCGTCGTACAAAAAGGGCTTTATCTTATTTCAATAAGTACGATACTGAGAAAAAAAAGTTAAATAGAAAAAGTGTTCAACCCTAAGTATATATTTTATTTATAGTATTTTTATGTATACAGGGTATTCTGTTGTGTCAGGACAGTAACCAAATTTATCTTTTTTAATTATTCGCTTCATTTTGAGTATTTTTAGTTAGTACATAGCATACAAAATTACGAGTAGTTTTAGAGAAAAACGAACTTTTCAATTTTTTTTGTTTCGGAAAAATGTGTTTTTGTACGCTTACAAACTCAAAATTGACTATTTTTATGGCCAACGAGCATCAAACAATTTCTTTTTTCTTATTTGAAAGAACCCGGTATTTAGCACTTGTATTGGGTGTGGGTGTATTTTATTTTAAATCTAACGATCACCTATATAATATCCTATTGTATCTAAGTTTTTTTTTAGTAATTGATTAATTAAATTCAATATAAAATCAACAAGTAATGCAGGTAATTAGAACTTATTACTAATTCCAAAACTTATTCTAACCACGGTAGTCCATGAAAAAAAAAACAACTAATAAAATTGTTGCTTGGACATTTTCAACAATGTATTTCTATTTTTTTTCAGCACTACTTAGTTTAAATCAACGCTTTACATTTTCGATTGGGTCCGCCAGCGAGGAGCCTTGACTTGACGCATCTGGACTTTTTTTCAAAATGAATAAGAACTAAAAGTTCAGATTTTCACGAAATTATATATTTTTACATGACATTTGACCAATAAAAATTTCGTACGCCACGTAATGACAAAAAATACTCAAAATCAAGCCAGTGATTAGAAAATTTAAATATATTCATAGAAATCCGTTACAAAAATACAACGAGGCCAGATACAAAACTTTGCTTTGGCTATTGGCCGTTTAAAAGGGTTGTATAGCTCAAGGCATATTCTAACTCGAAATCTTAAAACAGCTTTATGCTCTTGATCTCTCCTTGTTTAATCACTGTGATGAAGATTCAAGGAAGCGGGTTGGATGAATATGAAGACGCAGCTCCTGATCCATCGCCGTTGTCTTTATTTCAAAATAATTAAGACAAAAAATCCCGAATACCTCTCCGAAAAAATAACTTTCAGAACAGACGTGAATAACTTCATCTAAGATTTAAAGGGGTCATAATTCCTCGTCACCGATCTGGTATATTTGAGAGATCCTTCAGTTACGACTTGTTAAAATTACCTGAATAATTATATATTATTATTATGGTTACTGCCCTGGCACCAAATAAAAATTCTATAAATATATACTTAGGGTCAAACACTTTTTGTATTTAACTTTTTTTCTTCAGTGTAGTACTTATTGAGATACCTGTACAGGATAGACGAAATTGGACACTAAATATCGCGTTTTGCCCTGGAAATTTCTTTGAAAACATTTGTAAAACGGCGCGTCCCCCTTAGAACGCGGAGTTTCCTCTAAAAAGAGTTCGATAAAGTCGAACGACTAAGGTTTGAGTACGCTAACCTAGTCCTCCAACTTAGAAATAAAACTAGGTCGTCTTTTGGTTAAACGACCTGCCGAGCAGGGGAAGTACAACCTCCCGTAGTGTCTGTACCGCGTTCACTTGACGAAACTTTTACCGTTCTTATTCCACTTTGACCCAGTTGGTTCTGCAGCCCGAGCTGCTGTTGCCGTACACCGTTTGCAACTCGACCCCAATCTGCCTCAGCAACCGGTTCGATTGCTTGACGAGCTGCTTGAATTTGACGATTTGCACCTTTTTCTTCTTGACGCCTGGCTTGTGAATCAGGAACGCGTTGTCCAACACGTTAAAATTGTAATCCATCAGGCACAGCGTGTACGCCTGTACCATTTTGTTGCCCTGTCCTTCCCACGTCAGCCGCTCGTCCCACAATGGTTCCTTCTGGGTGCACACGTAAAACGGTTCCCACACGATGTACCTGCCGGTTCGTTTGCCCGTGGTGAACACGCCCAGCCCTCTGGTCTCCTTTGCTCTGACCCATCGTTCGCCGTTGACCACCTGAAATGTGGTCGTCGACGTCCTCGCCCAACGACAACGAACCCGGCCCGACATACGTACCCTGTGGCACACCGCGCAAACCGTCTGATGGAACAGGATGGCGGTTTTTTTCTTGAGCATCGCCTGCAGCTGCGTCTTGTTCTCCGGCACCGTCTGGTTTTCCAGCACCTCGAAAATCGGCAGGACGAACACGTTCTTCTGATCTTCCGCGAGGAGCTGCGGGTGACCGCGGGCAAACTCCAAGAACAACGGGATGAAGTCGCGGGTCGGGTAGAGCTCGATGTCGGACGGGAAAATGAAGTACGTGGTGGCTGCGAGTTTTGCGACGTTTCTGGCCACGTTTATGGGGTACAGCAGCGAGTTCTGAACCTTGAACATGTCCTCGTCGTTCTTGGTGAGCCACGGCGGGGGGCTCGAGCAGTTGATCGCGTCGGCGTAAGCGGTGAGCAGGGAGGTGCCGTTGTGTCGCTGGAAATTGGAGAGTTTTCTTTTTGAAACACATAGTTAGCGAAATATATATTCAATGTTAGTGTTTTAACAAATAGAGTCGAAACTCTATATACCGAAATTGAAGGGACTGCTTTTATAGGCACTTGAAAAATAACAACACGTAATATTTCATTATTTTATATACATATTTTAACATCTACTTAGAATCATTTTATATAAATATTTAAGAACTACACTTGTGGCTTATGTTTTCACCATTTCTTCGAGAGGGGCATCTTCCCCATGATACATAAAACATTTCTCTGGCAGCTTAACTGAATGATTGAAAGGTGGTTGATGGTGGTCCCAGATCAACTTCTTCATCTTCTTCTTCCTCTTGGTGCTCTTCCTCGCCGTTTCTTGCTTGTTGTAATATGGCTTCCTCTGTCAAGTCTGCTGTTGTAGGCAAATCCTGATCTATCTATAAGTCCTCCATGACGATAGCTGTGTTGAATCCCCTTTAATTCTGCATCCCATTTCGTATCTTCTCTTCAAAAATTTGCGATGTCATCCATGCAGACTTGTTTGCCTTGTAAGTGACCGGCGAATGCTTGATGTTCTTAAAACATCGTGGGTTAGTTGATTTTGCAATCACGACTAACTTTCTTTTTTCTCTCCCACTCATATCGGCAGCTACTAACACTGTTATACGTTCTTTAGAAAGTTTTCCACCCACACACTTTTTGCTTTGAAATTTAAGAGTTTCAACTGGGGTCATTTTGTAAAAAATACCAGTTTGTCGTCAGCAGGGTACGTTTCTGATAGTTTTGGCCACGTCTTCTCCAGCCAATCGTTAGTGACGTTTCTGTCGACATCACGGGCTTCGTCACTCACGACCTAACAGTACAGAAACAGAGTTTTACGTTATACAGAGATTCGCTAAAGGGAGTTTTCACTGCATCTCTAAGCAGTTCTACTGTAAAATATCCTAGTCTCCGCGTCATGTTCCTTTAGTATAATTTTGGTGCGGAGGATATTTCGAGTATTGTGATTTTTAATGCAAAAATTAAGTATTGGCGTAAAATCATTAATCCCGTCGTCGTCTTTTTGATATTTGACCCGTTTATTTTGAAAGTGACTTAAGTCCATTATCATCTTTTATCAAGTTGTCACTTGTGACGTTTATAATTTATGCCGAACTTTCAAAAAAATAAATCGGTATTGAAATATACTTAGTACATTTGAGAAAAATAGTCAAAATCCTAATTTTGGAAGTGACCTAATTCAACTTTTTATTGACGATGTCAAAAAGTGCGGCCCAAAATGTCGAAAGCAGTGATGAAGGTAATTTAAATTACGTTAATATTTAATTTTTCTTCAACAAAGGCAGAGGCAGTAATCGAGAACAGAGAACAGAGAAGTGGTACTTGCATTCAGAAAATTCGTAAAATTAAATGGAATTCAGCGAAAAGATACGATACACAATCGAGAAAAATTATTCCTGCCAAAGTTTTTCAAAATGAAGATTGCCAATGCCGAAAAGACTGCTTGAAAATTTTAAATGAAACAGAAAGAAAATATATTTTGCTATACGAAACGACGGGACGCGGTGTTGTAAAAAGAAGACGTCAGAGAAACGGAAAAGGTTCATGTAGAAATGGGAGTTTTACGTATTAGTTAAATTCTGAAACAGGCAAAGTTGCTGCTTGTAAAAAATTCTTTTTAGATACTTTTCAAATAAGGACGATTGAAACGTGTATTAAGATCTAAAAACGCTGGCAACGATTTACGTGGGCGTTTGCCTGGATCGTCGAGAAAAATATGTGATGAAGCAAATCTGATTGTTCAAAACCAAAAAATCAAAAAGTCAGGTGGATGCGACAAATTTATCCGGGACTCTCAGGCATGGCAAAATAATATTTTTCACCTCAAGATTCCGCAACCAAAGACGGGCCAAAGGACGAACACCAAAAGATCACGCAAACGTGGCCGTTCGGCTATTTGGACTGACCCCCGAGGAGGAGGACGAGTTGTAAGAAGAAATATTTGCAACAAGGGTAAAGCAACAACTAGTGGCAAGGGCAAGCAGAAGCAAACAGCTCTGATGAAAATGACACTGAAACATTTTGTCTGATTCTGGAGAACCTTACCTTAAAAGTTCAGATTTTCACGAAATTCTATATTTTGACGTGACAATTGTTTCGACAACACCGTGTCTTTGTCAAATGTAAAATTTACAAATAAGCTGCTACTATATATAGCGAAAAATGAGCATAAAACCTTAATTAATGTTGTTGCGAGAATTTAAGTTCAATAAAGGAGAGGTATTTGAATCTAATTGATCGTTAAGCATTACATTTGAATGTCTCATTTTGTTAATCTGCATGGCTTCCAATAAATTTAATTTTCTACTTTTTGTGGCTGTATGTAATATATCAAAATTTTCGTCAAATATGTGTTTTTCTGTGTTAATAATTAGAATCTGTGTTAAGAATTAGAATCTACACTATTGTTTTTAAACGGTCTTTTGTGTTCGTTAATGCGTTTCTTGAAGGATCTACCTGTTTGTCCATTATAAATTTAAAGCTGTAGACACCTGATTTTTGGGATTTTGGACATTTCGTTTTATTTTTTTTAAATATTTTCTTATCGTGTTGTTAGTTTTGTTCACCCAAACTCACGCACACCCAGTTGATTTTGCTATCAGAATCAGAAGAAATAATATATATCGTTATTTTGTACCAGAACAGCAGTTTCGTCGCTTACCGATTTTGGGACATATTTGGTGTCGAAGAACACGTGGAATGTGACGTATTCCTTAATTAAAGCAGTTTCGCAGTTCCTGAGGTAGGAAATCGAGTCGAGTGTGGTAAAGTAATCGTCCCCGGGCGCATAAAGCGCCACGCTTATGGGCCCGCGCCACCTGTCCACCAGGGGAACGACGTTGTCCAAAAATCTGGAACAACATATATTAAGTGCAACGGATCTGTTTTATTACATTACAAAAAGTGTTTTTATGATTCGATTGTGTTCGACTCTCGACTTGCGGCAAAAATTTTGGTTTCTTAATTTCGCAATAAAAAGATTAACGGCGTTGAGTATTCATTGTGCTAGTAGACCGAATGACATTGGAAAATGATTAGATAACGAATGTAATGTTTTGGTAATCCGTAATGAAGCTCACTAGGACTGACGTATACATATAATCTCAGCTCGGGGAGTGACGTTCTGCTGGCAAAGACTACTTGAGGCTTTTTAAGCAAACAGTTTACAAAAAAATGCAATGATCACCAAACATTCTGCATATAAGTCGACTTATACGAACCATTGTTCGAAGCCACCAAGCAAATAGTACTTTTTTCAAGTCTTAATTTAAATGCAGTCATAAAAAGGTATTAAATAGCATTGTTCGAAATCTCAAACGCATCGTAAAAAAGGGAGACTACTCTTTGACGTCACGTGGAATTAAAATATTCCTACACTCTCAACAACATGATTCATGCATATCAACGCATTTAGGTGGTATAATTAATGACTCGTTTGGGCAATAATCGTTACAAGATATTTTTATCTTTTACGGCCCTGTTACAGGAAATGTTATTACCGTCAATCAAGATCGTTCTGTGGCTCACCTGGTGGCCCTATCATTTTTCCATTAGATCGTGTTGTTATCGAATCGTTTTCATCCGCTACTCGCTGCGAAGCAAATAATGACCGATTAAGGCAAGATAAGGTCTCTGCCGTTTGAAGTGGGCTAATCCCACTTTTACTAGTCCATTACGATTTGATCATCATTATTAATAAAATATCTGGCGACGGTTTGTCCACGTGGTTTTATGGCTGAATTTATTACGAAAAAGCTTAGACCATAGTTGAAGGTAAATCTAATTATCTCTCTTTCTCTGGATGTCAAAAGCATAACTTTAACGATGGAGGGGTGCGGTGACAGCACATAATTAACTCTGGCCCAAATGACAATCCCACCTGCACGTGGTACACTCTGTTAGAAACTGAGGAGGCTCTGTCGACAGAATGATCGCCAGTATAAGTAATTCCCCTCTCGATAGCCAACAGCTTCGGGTGGAGGAGCTGTCAAGGGATACGACCATCTCTGGTCCTTGAGCTGAGAAATCGGCTCAAAAGGCGGATGAACCAATACCATTAAAGATAATACTGATTTTCCTTCGTACAAATCATCATGGCTGAAAACTATAAACAAACGCCCCTCGGTCCCCGGGAGATCTTAAATGATCAGAGGGTGCGAAGAATCCCCTGGTCGGCTATGAAAAAAATATGAGAAGAGCAAGAGATAAGCAGTGACACAAGATGTCTGAGATGTGAACAACAACCAACAGCTAATAACACTATTTATTACTCAGGAAGCAATGACAGCCAACATAGATATGAAGTCAACCATATCAGCTTCAAACGAATCATTGCAAACTAAACATAATCCTACAGCTCCTGCATCAGACAAATCTGATGAAGAAATTGATGAATATTACAAAGAACGTAATAATATCATAGAATCCATTAAATCAAGGGATATAACACTAGTATTAGGAGATTTTAACGCCAAAATTGGCTAAGATTTGACAAACTTGTGGGAGAATATGGACTTGGAGGGAGAAACGAAAGAGGGGAGCGACTGTTACAATTTTACCCAGAGATTGAATTTATAATATCGAGTACGTTCTTTAAACTTCCAAACCGTCGTCTGTACGCCTGGAAATCTCCACAACAAACAAAATATAGTTAGAAATCAAATTAATTATGTCTTGGTAAACCACAGATACAAAAATGGTATCAAATCGATAAAGACCTACCCAGCGGCAGACGTGTCATCAGATCATAATCCTTTAGTAGCCAGATTATTGATAAAATGAAAAACAAAGACTAATGCCAACAATAGATTAGAAGACGTCTCCGACCGGAAAGACCGTGAAACAAGTCAAAAACTGCAACATAAAATCAATGATGAGATTAAAAATGGGAAGATAAAAAAAAACATTAGTTGAACCCAGCAAGAAAATTTTAACAAAAAAGAAAGCAGAGAAAAAGCAAGGAGAAAAGAAAAGCAAAATAGGTATTCAACAAACATAAAGGCGAAGCCCTACAGAAAAGTAAAAGAAATTGCAGGATTACATAATAAGAGAAAACCGACAATACTAATTTCATGGCAGTGCGGAGGCATGGACTCTGAAGAAATGGACCGATAGAGTAAGGAACAAGGAAATCACGAGAAGAATGAGAAAAGGGAAAGAAGTTAATATTATTAGGACATACTGCAAGGGAAACTTCATGGAGGAAGGAGTATAGGAAAACGTCCCTCGTGGATGAGAAATCTAAGTGACTGGTTTGGATGTAATACAAATCAGCTATTAGTAGAAGTAGAAGTAGAAGAAGAAGTCTGTTGGAGCTTCCGATAAACCTTAAATTATGTCGACTTAAAAATAATATTTGGAAGGCCGGTTGTGGTTTCTACTTTGCCACTCCGCCTACTAATCCCTGGTTTCATAAGTTAGCACTGAACAGGAAAGAAGTCACTATCTTGTTATCCTGATTTGTTATCTGATATATTAAGGTTTGATCCAAGGCAGCGAATATGCAGAAAAACAAACGTCATTTTCGACTGTTTTTCTATTAACGTAATCGCGTCTACAGTGATCAACGTAAATTGCTTACCCAGTCGTATAATAGGTTTGATAAGCGCGCGGAACTTAAATGCTTTGCCCCTTATCGTTAACTTCGCAATTGCGGTTAATATTAGAGACACTTAAATTTTCTATGAATGTATTAACATATTAGCATTTAAAGGTTTTATGGGAAAAAATTTATCTATGGAACGTGAAATAATAAAAACGAACAAACGATAGTAGCAAATCCTAAAGCAAAGTTTTCGTAAACGTCTCGAGGAAGAAAAATTCGTCGCTCTATCGGAGTCTCAAATCTACTCTAACCATAACCGCGATTTTACCTTTAATTTCTAATAGATAGATAGATTCATTTATTGACTATGTTTCGTACAAAAGGAACGTACAATTTCAGGTTCAACGAGTTGCTCTCAGACTTCCTCAGTCTAAACCTAGGCCGTCTAAGGAGATCTCCCGAACGAGTTGGATAGGCATGGCATTCGGAATTAGCGCTAAAGTTTCCCTTCGTTCTTTGTATCTCTAATAACTGGTAGTAGATATAGATGCAAGGAAGGGGCATCACTTTAAATTTTTTAAAATAAGGTTGGCAATGGTCCCTATATCCTATATTAGCAACGACTCGATTGTCCTTTTCTGCATTCTAAAAATCTCCACAGCAGCTGGGGAATCACCCCACAGTACTGTGCCATAGCATAAGTGCGAATGCAACAAAGCAAAATAGACCATAAGCAGAGTCCTTGCTCCATCAGGCCCCTCCGTCGTCGAAGAACAAATATGTTGGTGGACAATCTATTTTTCAAGTCTGAGATATGTTGTTTCCAATTTAGACTATCATCGATCCTAATGCCAAGCAACTTGACGGACTGTCCACTATTTAACAAGCAATTGGAGGAAAACACAATACTCTGGGTCTAGTCTAAATTTAATTTAAGATAATTATTTTCGAACTAGACATTAGCCCTGTCCTCCTAACGGACCACTCCTCGATACTCTTAGCAGATGTAGTGAAGGATGTATCGTCGGCAAACATCACGCACTGATTGGGGGCCATGAAATGATAAAGGTCATGTATATATATTGTAAATAGTAGCGGGCCCAGGACGGAACCCTGGGGCACGCCGCTTACTACTGATTCAAGTGACGAACGGTCATCCTGGTATTCTACAAACTGCTGTCGGCCCTGCAAGTAGGACGCTATAAGATCTAAGGGCAGACCTCGTATACCATATCTATATAGCTTTTTAATGAGAAGCTGGTGAGAAACACAGTCAAAGGCCCGGGGGAGATCACACAAGGTCAAACCAACTAATTCACCCCCCATCGAGGCCCTCAACTATCCCACTCACAGCTTTAGACGCTGCTTGGATCGTCGAACACCCTCCCCTAAATCCAAACTGACCAGCACAGAGACATTCGATCTTATTAATATAAGAAGTTAGCTGATCTTTTAGTAAGATCTCAAAAATTTTTCCGAACAAAGGCACGATTGAAATCGGCCTGTAGTTGTTAGCATCATTTATATCACCCGCCTTACACCTGTGTCAATACATTTGATAAATAAAGTGGTCCCTTCACCAAGACACTATTGATATCATAAGCATCGTTAGAATAAGATTTTTTTAATCTTAGTATGGCTGGGTACGTATCCTCACAAGTTATCGGATGCAAAAAAATCCTAGTAGTAGTAGTAGTTTCCTCCAGTGGAGAATCCCTTCAACACATGCACTCTGTACATTGTGATTCACCGTTAAGATCTTTATAATATTACTCGAGATAGAACTAAAATAACTATTAAGATCGTTTGCTGATAAATCAGACTCTTTATCACATCTCGCAAGACAATTTCTTTCATAGTTAACGATTTGTTTTTATTGGTTGATTTTTCGATAAGGCCATTAAAGGCAGCTTTTTTGGTTTGTCGAATTTTTTGTTTATATTCCCTATTCAGTGATTTATACACTTCTGTATATAGAGGGTTCTGTGAGACTTTACTGAGAGTTTTAACAGCTGACACTCTGTTTCTAAGAGCTTCAAGATCTTTATCAAACCAGTTGGCCGGTGATTTTTTATGAGGAACGTTTTTAACAGAAAAATTTTGTTTGATCAAGTCTTGAACTTTGTCCAATATAAATGAAGACATAAAGTTGACATCGTTAGAACCAAGGCAAATATTCCAATCCACAGCCTCCAACGACTTCCTAATATTCACAATACCTGATTTGGCAATAGTTCTAATTTTTTTAGTTCTGATTCTATTCGCCCTACCTATGCTAAGTTTAATAAACTGGCCTCTGTGGTTTGACATGCCAGGGTCAAGAACTCCCACCTCATAAACGTCTTCATTCAGGTTTGTTATTATATTATCGATGCAAGTAGCAATATTTTTAGCGGAATTCTAAAGCTACCAAACAAATAAAATATCAATATTTTAGAAAAAGCAAATACATTTACAATTATAGAAAAAATATGCTGGACTATATAAAATGAGAGATGAGATGCTAGAAAAACCTATTAGAAAATTTATAATGTGATATCTATTTTTTTAAGGCACCGGCCTGAAAAATTTGTATTGTGTGAAATTTTTTGAACAAATCCTCACAAGAACCTAAAAATGTGTTACAAATTTTGCCAAGTACTCTAGTAAAAATAAATACACTTTTTTTTAAACATTTTACATTATGGCGAAGATTTTGACTGTTGAATTTGTGTTCCACCGGGTGTTGTACTCTTGCCTCTATACACTATATTAATATAACAAAAAAGTTTTGCTAAATTAGTACAACCAAATGTGAAATGTAAACACGAGCATGTGTCAAATGAGCGAGTTCTCAGAAAAGCTTTTACAAAAAAATACAAGAGAAAAATACATCTCGATCGAAGTCAATACTTGCAGGCGTACTCGTGGTTTGAGGAATGATTGATTTTGATTTTCACTTTTTCGTCAGATATGGGCATGGGACATATATTTTTTTAAAACCACTCAAAACGTTTCTGTAACCGTGTTTGTTGGAATAAATTAATATGTTAATAGTTTTTTTCATACAAAATCAAGTTGGTTTCGACACGAGGGGACACAGCAAAATTGCCCTTTAACTTCTAATTTCGAAATACAAGGCGTTGCAACAGAAAGAAGTCGCAAGGGGTCAGGTCTGGAGACCTGGGGGGCCAATATATAGGACCTCGTGCATTGTGAGCAGGTGCACCGTCATGTATAGCCCAATAATTTATCCTCTGTGGATGCCTACCCATACCTTAAAACTGAACCTTCCCTGATTCGCTTGTTCCACCATAATATTGGGATTTTGCTGTTTTCAGTAATAGCAGTTATACCGAGTGTCACTAGAAATCGTTGCCTCATCCACCCAAATAACTTTCCTGGCAAAATTCCAGGGTTCCTCTCCATAGGAAGTATTTGGGTTAATTTCTATTTCTCCCAGGACCATTAGTTCTTCGAACTCTCTATCTCTGACTAGGCTTCTATACGTCCTAGGCCGCGGTTTTGTGAAGGATCGGTATTCTTGTAGATGACGTTTTAACCTCAAAAATATTTTTGAGCTAGGTTGCCTTCTTTCCGCATATCGCTAGAAATATCGATTTAACGACCTCCGTCGATTTTCGTTACTTTTAATTAAACATTTTATCATGTTGTACTTTTCAAAGTTTTCAAACTTTTTTTGAAAGCTTGACGAAGACGCCACTTTTGTCACTTGTGTATCATGGCAATTGATTTTATCTGATCATGGCTACCTAGATACATACCGTAAACGTTAGATGCCAGAAAAAAACAATAAAATTGGCAATTATCAAAAATTGCAGATATCTTTTTAACTACGTAATAAAAATAGGTGTATGGCACATCGTTTGACAGGAAATCTTATTAGAAAACTAATTTTTTAGAAAAAATTGGGGTATTCCGTTTAAAAAAAAATGTAATTTTGTGTTATATCTGGTGACAAACTCGGTGAAACAAGTAGATTTGCTCTTAAAAAATCTTCATAAAATGTTTTTATTAAAAATCTCTATCTTTACAAATAAAAAAGTGATAAAGGGTCTTTAGAAACGCACATTTGTAAGAATCACCCTGTAGCTCACGAACGCTTAGACATACACGTAACATACATATTAGTTTTGGGCTCAAAGTCATAAATTTGATACTGATACTGACGGTTTACTTTCTTTCATATTTTTTGTTATGTGCAACACGCGAAACCCGAAGACTCACCTGAAATCGCCAGGGGCGGACAGGGTGATACTCTCGAGGCACCCGAAGCTCTTCTCTGCCTTGACGAGATTATAAATGACGTAAAACTCGCCCCGCTGCTCCACGTGCGTCCTAGACGGTCCAGTTTCGCACTTTAGGAACCCTAAAGGGTCTTTGGAACCCCCGTCGTCGACCGTGCGATTTTCGACAGTTGCGTTAGAGTCGATCACGTATTCGACGTACGTGGTGGTGTCGGGACTCGTGAGCAACACCACCATCACGGTGAACGCGCAACCCAGGGCGAACGGATAGAAGCCGTCGCGTAACCTCCGTGAACACATATTCGACACGAACGACGCAGGAAAAAGACGTGTCGCGCATTTTCTTTTTTTTTTTTTATTCGCTTCAAGATAAAGTCGTAGCCGCAAATCCCGTTATCAATAAAAACCCGAAATTATCTCGGAAACGGTTTTTGGTCGTTTACGATTTGGCCGTGAAAAACAATGTGCTGTTCGTGCCAGGTAGATTGCGAACCACAGAGGAAATTAATACAACCGAAACTAGCACTAGCTGCCTCCCACCGGGGAGACAAGTTAGCAAATTTTCCTGGATTTTACTTTTAAGTAAGCGATGCACCTCAATAGAAATGTATCGTTGAAAATTAGTACTAGTATTAGTATTAGTAGAGTTAGGTGATAAACCACATTTACAGAGGACGCTAAGATTCTTCCACGAGGTGTCACGGATCCATTGGAATTTTTTCACAAATCCCAGACTCAACTTAAATGATAAATCAGATTGGCAGTCGAGAGTTTATTCCCCAAAAAACTAATAAAAACATCTTTATAAAAAAACAACCCTGGTTTACACCTAGACTACACAAAAATAACAATCAATTACAGTACTTTCGTAGAGTCTACAAAAAAGGAGCATTGGGCACAAAATATCAGTAACTTCCTTATTAGCGTGGCTGGGAATGTAGGTACATCAAGTTATAGAAAAATTATGGTAAATAAAATTAGTTTCCAGCTAAGTTATCAACAAAATGTAAAACAAAGCATGTGAACTGACCAAAACTGAACTAACCAAAACTATTCAAAACAGGATGCCCGAAGGGCCGGTTCTGGGCCCGGCCCTGTTCTTATTGTACACCATGTACCAAATAAAACGATCAACTATACGATGTGCAAACCCATAGCAGATACGAAAAAAGTTTCCTGGATTCTCCTGAAGATTTGACATTAACTTTGGCAGAAATTGAGGTTATGAGTTTTTTTTTCATATTTTGATTGCTCCATATAAAATTGTGTTGTTACGCTACTAATCCAGGCATTGCAACCAAAATTTAACCACATACTAAGGAGATGATGCACTACTCAATCAGTTTGACAGATGTGTTTCAGCTTATACAGATTGTTCCAAATAGATGGTGCCGTTATGGCGAATTCAATTAACAAAATCTCAAGATTTTCAAATGGAACCCACTATTTTTTATTCGGCTATCAATTCTAGGACAAAAAATAAGGTAAAATTTATCTTATGTTTAAATTTTACTTATTTTTTGAGATATTGGAGGTTTAATATAACATCCGTATAAATTCTTGTTGAATTTAAAGTTGCCGATATTAGAGCTATTATCTTGATTCGGGTTTAAAGGCCGTCGTCAGTTGGAATTACTTCCTAACGTTTCGCTAGCACGAGTGGCGAGCTTCTTCAGAGGTCCTTCCATCTCCGATGTTGTACGTAGACTCATTCACTACGCCCTCTCTATAGTTCGCTCTCTGCTGTACCTGCACACAACCAACAAATGAAAATAAGCACGACTATCATACAAGAATAAATTATATCAGACTTGAACACTGTAGATACACCAAAATTATTATACACCTGCATTTTATAATAAATTGTCCTCATTAAATTAGAGTAAATCCAAAATATTTAATTTCCTAATTAAAATTCTATACCGGTTTTCCCAGTTCTCTCTCTAATAGCAAAGTGTTGGGGTTATTTTAACAATTTCGGAAATAAATGTAACATTTACTACTTTTATACAATATTAAATATAATATATATAACATAATAAAAATTAGATTTTCTTGTTGGGTTGTTTTGGGTTCCCGTTTTTTTTTTCTCGAAAATGATTTATCTGAACGGAAAAATTCATCTTGTTTATAAAACTAATTATTTCCTTCACATTTTAGCAGGCTGTGCCTATCACAAAGCATTTTGGCAAGGGACGAGTGCGGTGAAGGGTGTTGCCTACGTATGAACGGTTGTTATGGCAACTATGTAATGTGGGAGAAAATAATTCGGGATAGGAGCAACGAATCATTGACATAAGAGATTAAAATTGTCGTAGCCGTTAGCAAATAGTAGTTTTTTGCCCGACAAAAAACAGTTGAGTGGTAGTTTTCCGACTGCGGTTGGAACAACAATGAAAGTGAATATTCGGTAAAACGAATAAAACCACATTTATAATATATATTTAATTTTTAACATAATTCAAGTATATAACCTTGATTTTTATGCTCTAAAAACATCGAAATCAGAAATTTTAACGTGATCGCTATAGTTTGCAGCTTTTGATATTCTGCAAACTTTCCGTAAATTCTAGTAACGCACACCACATTGGCGTTTCGGCGTTTCTTGGAAATCTGCAACAATAAGTAACACTATGCACAAATGTTAGACGACATAACGAAATAAAAGCTTATTACAAACGTCGCATCTTCACTTTTAAAAAGTCACTATTCTCTCAAAAAAAAAAGAAAGTTAAACTCTCCTACAATGGTGTAAGAATCTGTTTATTGCGATGTAACGTATACGTCCATCGCCATCTCCCGCGGAGTGCCGAAACTTGCGCGCGAACGCCATCGGCAGCAGAAACCCCGAAGCGCGAAGCGCCCCCGACGGCCGCCCGGCGAACCAACATTCAAATGTTATCCGTGTAGCCACAGATCGATCGGGCGCTATCTGTCAAACGCCGGGCGCCGTGTGATTCGGTTCGCTGCCGCTGCTTCCAAACAAATTCGCGGATTTTCGACGACGATGCGTTCGGCAAATAACACGGATCGTTCCTCGATGCGTCGCTACAACCGCGTGCTTCGGGCCTGCCCGTGAAAATGCACGCTTAGGTTTAACACTCGGCCTTATTCTCACGCGTCATGAGTTCCACAACGAAACCTGGCAAAATCGTCCAAGGTAGGTGGTTTGATCGGCCGAAAAGATTAACCGGTGACGTCACGCATCAATTGATAAGATTAGGGTTTAATTGGCCCTGCCGCCTCCGACAAGGCTCGTATACGAGGAAGTGTGCGCGCCGCTCGAAATATAGGCCAAGTCTCGCTTTTTATTTATTTTGAAATGTATACCTGGCGTTGCCACATTTACCCGCGTTTAAGTTAATCGACCATAGGGATTATTCGCATCGGTATGTTTTCCGAAAATGAAGCGGGGTCAGGCAAATATCTACACCGATCCCTGTGCGATACACCGGAAAACTCAACACATAATTAACAGCAATAGTTTTTTTTTTCTAATAACGACGGATATATCGGGCTCCTAGGAGACTCCCGATGAGTTTCAAATACACTATTGCATTCTTGAATATGTCAGCGACGATGTTCCCCAGACGGTAGGACAAAGCGCGTCGCGCGGCAACGTCGCGGGATCTCAATGACCTTTTGGCATTTGGTTTCTCCAGAGGTATACCTGCTGATATAACTCTAGTTTATTCACGTATGCTTCTGGCGGTGTGCGTTAAAGCCGGCAATGTAATTTTGGATCTTTCATCGTGAATAAATACGAGTTCATAGATTTTAAGGCGGACATGAAAACATTGGAAAACACAACAAAAAGCAGGAATCGAAATGGTAGTTACAAAGGGTGATTCATATTTTATTACTTTCCAACTGTTTTAAATTTAATTTTCATTCATTTTTAAAATATATAGCCCAGATATTGTTCCCGAAACTCAAGTTATATTTTAATTACGAAATATGCTATAAAAACAATATCAATCACGGAATCTCAGCCATTCGGGCTTGGTAGCTTCACAAGTTTATAACCAAAATAACACACAAGTTGCAGGCTGGCCACAATATGCCACCAATAATATTTTAACTTTCATATACTAGGAAATTCGCAATTTTTACTTTGCGATGCCACGTTGCCAGCTCATTATGATTATTTCGACAAATCGGGAGTTTTAAGGTCCCTGACAAAATATCGGCAATTTGTGGAATTCCTTCAGACTTTACAAAAATATTAATATTGTATATTGTTTTTTTTTTGTTATAATAAAGGCTAATTATTATTATTATTATTCTTATTATTATTATTGTGACGGATGATGAATCATGGATCTATGCATATGAACCTGATGAGCAGTCAGCTGTGTGGGTTTTTCAGGAAAACTGGCCACGTTGCAACTAGTTTTCTTTTTGGTGAAAGGTAAAACATTCAATTCTGAATAGTCGCAGTGTTGGTTGTCGAATGCCGCAATGTCATTGGTCAAATCTTAAGTCCCGCGCATGCGTATGTCAATATTTTTTAACCATTGTTCCGACCGATCCCTTCAACGAGACTGCGCGATGTATGATTTGTTCATAGATATAAGAAAGTGACTAATTGCTTTTAAATGGGATTATCCAAGGGTGGTCATTAACATACAATGCAACAAGATTATTACCTAAAGTTTTCCAATTTAAATTCAGTTAAAATTGTGGTCCGTAATAGAAAATAATTTTATACCTACCTGTGTTTATTATTTTTTGGTTTGGTATACTACTTAGTTTAAGTTTATCAGTATTCATTCTTATTTCGTGTATAATACAGCGTGTGTTGAATTGTGTGCGAATTATGCAAAATATGTGCGAGTCTAGTGTATCTCCCGCCCAAATGTGCAAAACACTATTCCATTGAGAGTAAGGACGTTATAAACAATGTTTATTTGGCTCTCATTGAACGTGCTGCCAGCAAGCAAGCATCTTTAGAAGAAACGGCCGCATTTAAGAAAATTCCAATATCAACTGTATGGAAAATTTCAACGAGGAAAAAAGAAGCGATGCTGACATTTTCTCGAGTGTAGATGAAAGTGATCAAGATATAATACGGCGTAAAATTTATCAGTTATACGAGAAACAAAACGTACCTACATTAGATATCTTAATTAGGAGGCTCGAAAAAGATGAAACCGGTGTTAAATGTGGCAGAACTACCTTATGGAAGTGTATTCAACACATGGGTTTTAGATTTAAATTCCGAAATGGCGACTGGAATATACAGAAAAAATTAGGATTTACAGAGAACAACAAAGGCCAATTATTTACTTGGATGAAACCTGGTTCGGCACTTATGATACCTCCGAAAAGGGTTGGGTTGGCTCAGCTGATAAGTGTAAAACAAACGCGCCATCAAAAAGAGGTAAAAGAATAACTATTTTGCATGCTGGCTCTAAAGTTGGTTGGATTCCAAATGGACTTTCCCTGTCTGCGAAAAATATTAAAGATTCTTCTCTGGATTACCATGAAGACAGTTTGAAAGTTGGTTTAAAAATAAACTAGTTCCAAACATTCCTCCTAATAGCGTCTTGTAAAGGACAATGCAAGTTATCACACCCCTTCCTCATGTGATACAGAAGCAACAATCCCAAATTACATGTATAATAACGACATTTATTTTCACGAATATTATACCAAAAACCAATTAATTGAGGTTCTACAAAGCTTGAACCTACAATGATGATTATGCATAAAATCTAGGGCACACAGTTTTAAGGCTTCCACCTTACCACTGTATATTTAATCCCATTGAACATGTTTGGCACCAACTGAAATCTGCCATTCGTCGTGACAATGTTTTTCCCCGTGTTAACTCCAATGTCCTCAAACTTATAGAAACCGAAATTTTTAACATCCCTCCACAAAGTTGGACAAACTCTGTTAAACATATAGAAAAAGAAGAACAATCGTATATCCATATTGCAAATAATATAGAACAAATAATAATTAGAACAGGCGATGATAGCGATAGTGATTCATATATGTAATTTGTAATTTTATTTTTATTTATTAATATTATTATAGTCTAAGCAAAGTACGGACCTGTTCGGCCATATTTGATTCTTACAGCTTGCCCGGATCTTTCCTTCATTCCCATCAGTTAGTCACTTTCTTATATCTATGAACAGACTTTACGTAGTAGCCCACTCGTACACACGGCACCGAGCCCACACAATAGATCATTGGACAATCTCCAAATTTATTTCGAAACGTAAAAATAATGCGGCAACGGTTAGATTTTCAGTTTCACGACACGCGTTTTCAATCGACATTTCACTTGCGTTCCGCGCAAACGATGATCAGATACGGTGACCGCGCGTCGGTGACAATTTAACGGCTGCCACATAAAAAAAAACTTCTGCAATAAAAGACGTGCCCGCGAATTAAAAACTGAAATCTAATTGCCACGTTCCGATCTCGTCGCCAACTCGATGCTTACTTCATCGTTCGGACATCTGTTTTGCGAATACGACCGAAACTCCTATAAATAATTCGAATTTTATTTGTCAAATTTAGTGCGCGTCTCTTCTTAGTCGATACAAGTGTATTGCCATATAAAACGGGACACAGATCGGTCGACTAATTTCGAACGTGAGCGCGCCCAATATGGCGTCGTACTGCGACGATTTCTCGGTGTACGAACCTCGCGGGAACCGTCGAAAGTACAGGGTGTACCGGAACGAACCTCTGCGGAAACGTTGGACGCTGCTGTTGGCGGTATCGCGCCTGGAGGACTTGGACGGTTAGTAAGATCATCCCGCGCTTTTAGTAGATGACACTTTTGAATTTTGCTTCTTGGCTGACCCGGACTCGACATATTTTCGGCGGAGCTGATCGTATTGAGCGATCTTAATCATTTCAGTTCTCAGTTATGTACATTTGAATGGACCTGTTGCGATAAAAAAGTGAGGCCAATTTTCCAAAATATAAAGGATAGCAATGGGGAAATATTTTATTTATTGATATAATTTATATAAATTATTTACGTATTGTTATTGGGCGATGACGACGATTTTCCCGAAATATTTGCCAAAATAAAATTTATAGTGTTATAACTTCTTACAGACCTCGTACGTATTGGTCAGTTATTTAAAATATTGAAGTCTTTTAAAAGTATTATTTAAAAAAAATACAATCAGTAGGCAAAGCGTACGCAAAAATATATATATTAACAATTTTCGTAGTACGTAAAAACGCTTCATTGATATATACGTGTTCAAAAAGTTAGTTTTATCAAAAAGTGTTTATTTATTCATCAAAATTAATTCAATACACAATACAGATATTGGCTCACGTTTCTTCCAATCATCGGAGCACTTCTGGTAAGCACTTTCCTTCCAATCGTTCCAAACTTCCTTTTTTTCATTTGTTTCTTGAGTTTTGAGGACAGGAAAAAGTCCGGGGAATATGGTGGTAATACTCTTTATTGACCGTACGCTTTTGTGGTAAGAATTTTTGATATACTACGCCATGATAATCAAAGAAGACGGTAAGCAGAACCTTGACGTGCTTTTTTCGATCTTGGCGATCCTGGGTTCTTCCACTGGGGCGACTGGGCTTTGGTTTCGACGTCATTACCATATACCGGTGATTCTCACCAGTTATGACCTGTTTGAGCCTATCAGGATCATCTTCGACGTCCTTTAACAGCTGTGCGATTCTCTTTCGACGGTCCTTTTGTTCAAAATTAAGCAGTTTCGGAACAGACTTTGCTGCTACACGTTCGATGCCCTAAACTTCGGAAAAAATTGCATGGCACGAGCCAATAGAAATGCCGACGTCTTCAGCCACTTCTCAAATAGTGATTAGACGATTTTTCAACACCATTTGCTTCACTTCTTCAACACTTTCACCTGTTATCGATGGACTGGGGCGTCCAGAACGAGGTTCGTCATCGGCGTCTTCTCGGCCATCTTGGAACAGCTTGTGCCACTTATAAACATTTTTTTTGCTCAAAGTAGATTCACTATATGCCGTTATCAACACTTCAAGTGTTTTGCAGCACTGTACTTCACACAATTTTATGCAAATTGCCGAGCACACAAAATACGTTTAACGCTTCTGTTACAAAAAAAGTATACTTGCAAACTGGCTGGAACTGTAACATCGTACGTTGCCCGCCCAATTACAAAAGTAACCTTACTATTTGAACACACCTCGTATATGACAAAGAAACGAATATCAAAATAAAATTTGCTTCACATTGCCTCAATATCGCCTGCGTTGTTGGACATATTGCAGTTTAGTTTAATCTCCCGTTTTGACTAGCAAAATATACTCTGACTATTATAAATAAATCTCATTTAATCGTGTCCTTAAAATAAATTATTGAAAAAGAAATTAGGGAAAGCGGGTTGATGCGGAAACAATGCCTATATAGACTGTTAAATAAAACAACTACGTTTTTATGTGGCAGTCTAGTCATACATTTGACCATATTGTGGTTTTTAATTCTCTGTTTTATTGAGAATTATGGCAAATATGACAAACCTACTTCAAAAAAGATAGTTGTTGCTTTATAAATTAGGCTGATTACAATATCTGATTGAATGTTGATGCGTATTTATATTATTGGGTTGTTCGGAAAGTCATTTCGTTTTTTTTGGGGAACATGAAAGACAGTTTTCGTATAATGAATAAATATTTTATTAAATTATATATTGGCCATTCTGGTCTAACACCTTTTGCCATCTTTCTGGCAGTAACATAATTCCCCTCTCATAAAAGTTTTGGTCCTTGCTGGCAAAAAACTGGTTCAGGTGGTTTTTGACATCTTCATTTGAGGTAAAGGTTTTGCCATCCAAAAAATTTTGCAGGGACCGGAACAAATAGTAGTCGGAAGGCGCCAGATCTGGAGAATATGGTGGATGTTGCAGTACGTCCCATTCAAGCCGTAAAAGTTTTTGGCGAGTGACCAAACTTGTGTGAGGTCTCGCATTATCCTGGTGGAACACTACACCCTTCCTGTTGATTAATTCGGGCCTCTTCTTTTTAAGTGAATCATTCAATTTGTCCAGTTGATGACAATAGACTTCTGAATTAATCGTTGTATTGTCCGGCAAAAGCTCAAAAAAAAACGATTCCTTTGACATCCCACCAAACGGAGGGCATCACCTTTTTTTGGTGAATGTTGGCTTTTGACACGCTTTGAGCCGGTTCATCTTTTCTGCTCCATGACCTCTTGCGTTTAACATTGTTGTATACGACCCATTTTTCGTCCCCAGTAATAATCCGCTTCAAAAATGGATCATTTTCTTGACGTTTGAGGAGCGAATCACACACGTCAACGCGACGACACAAATTTCGCTCCGTAAGGACATGGGGCACCCACACATCGAGCTTCGAGGTTAAGCCCATGCCTTTCAAATGGCCATAAACAGTCGAATTCGACAAATTTAATCTCTCACCGATCTCTCGCCGATATGCATCAACTAATGCCTTTATCGCATCTTTGTCAGCTTCGACCGGTCTTCCAGACCGTGGTGCATCTTCGACATCAAAATTGCCGGATCGAAATTTTGCAAACCAGTTCTGGCACTGGCGTACTGTTAACACGCCTTCTCTATACACATCCGTCAATTTTTTTCTCGCTTGGACAGCATTTTTACCTTTTCTGAAGTAAAAAAGTAAAATATGACGAAAATGCTGCTTATTGCTCTCCATATTTAAAAGGGCACCAACCAAAAACTACTGCGTAGAATTAATAGAACTTTTTCACACACAAGCCTTGCAATATCAGCTCTCAAGACATATAACGGTTATGCGGCTTAAGTGTGAAGTTGGTTTCGAAAAAACGTAATTAAGTCCTCTGACGGGAAAAAACGAAATGACTTTCCGAACAACCTTATACATATATATCCGTTTATGTAAATTGTGGAATGTCCTTTTATGGTGACTGAATACTAATATATCGATAACTAACTATGAAAATTTCACACAGTTTGTAACCAATCACAACTGATTGGTTTGACAGATTGCCATGGTAACGCATGTAGTGACGTTTCTGTTTGCGGTGAAATTTTCGTACCGAATCTTCCTTGCGCTAAAGTTTTTTCTTTGTAAACAAATACTTTTGTTTTTTTTTTAATCCAAAAAGCTTACTGCTTTATTTTGAATAAAAAAATGCACCACGGCGATGCCCAAAAAACCAAAAAGATTTTGACACTTTTTACACGTAAAAATAAATCAAAGCTCGTTTATTCTAAAGTTCCATTTATTCGCGGTTTGTGTTTTATCGTATCCCGGTCAATTTGTTCCCAAGCTCCGCGACACCGTCACCATAACCTATGGGAGTAGCCTCCTGGTGGGACCCTGTCGCTGGACCCGATCCCCGCCAATTCCGACTCGTATCCCGAACCCAGCAACGGGTTACCGTCTAAAAGTAACCCAAAAATAACCGTTTGGTTCGGTCTTAAGCGGGCCGTCACCTTTTCTCTTCGCCCCTTTGCTCTTGTATTCGTCGTTCGAGGACAGACCCGAGCCCGTCAATGGGTTCCTGTAGGAACTCGACGGGCGTTTCTCGTCGTTGTAATTTTCTCTGGTGATGCGCGTCACGGGCCTAGTTGCCGCCATTTTCGGGTCGGTCGACGCAGCATCATCCCCGCTGGGCGAAATGAACCATAACAGTTTAAAAAACAATTAAATGCAAGAATTGTTTGTTTGAATACGATGCGCGCATTGAAAGTAGTTGCCATTGTACATGATATTTCCTTAGTTTAAATGGAACACCCTATATATTATTTCATTTTTGAATATCTGATAAAATTTCATGATAGGTTCCTTAAGGTTTCCCTATACTTAATAAAGATGGAGCATCAATTTTAACTGTGTATGGTCCCTTTATTAATAATTTTTGACTCGTGATACTCCAAAATTTGATTAGAGATTACATTTTTTTCAAAGTTTTTAATTCATTTTTTAATGTGATGTGTGGCACATAAGATATTATTTTTTAAAGAAATGAAATGAACATGCCAAAATGCACTTTAACTGGATATAAAGTCAAAACAGGAAAATTGAATTTAAAAAGTAACAATCAATGAAATGATACAAAAAAGTTGGAACACAAGAAATATCAAATGCAGGTAAATGAATTCATTACAATTCTTGCTTCTAGGTGCAAACATTTTTGTCCATGCTCAATGCTGACTAGAAAGAACTTTGGAGTTTGAATAGCTTTTTTATAGAAAATCCGTTTCGGGGCCTTCAATTTTATGATCTGAAGTGGAAGAAGCCATATGGTCTCTGAAGAATGACAAGAAACCGGCTCCTGACAATGTAAAGGGTGAGATACTGAAACTGATAGAGGAGAAATCGCTGTGGAATGGCTACAGTCAACGTTCAATGACATACCTCAGCTTTTGTAGTGCACTGGGTACAAAGGAGTCGATGCAGAAACATGAACAAAGTCGTTTATCCGGTCTTCGTTGATTTCTCCAAGACATTTGACGACGTCAAACGGGAAACATTCATCGAGGTGCTCAGAAACACCGACATCGATGGCATGACGACACAGTAATAATAGCAAATAATAACGAATATGATCATTAGCAAAAATCAACATCGTCCAACTCGAAATGAGACCAGGCCTCAGAAATACAAACACGAATTGAAAAGGTCCGAGGAAGCTGTTTATCAGCAAGAAAATTTCTTTGCAGCTAAAACTGCTGGTCAGATGTTATATGTTCTCTGTACTGCTCTTGGATTGGCTTGGACAACAGAGACCACTTTAGGGCGAGCCTTAGAAATGGAGGTCGCATTTACGGTCTGTTGTAACTAATTGTTCAGGGCAACGTGCATGGCAGGAGAGGACCAGGAAGAAGACGACATTCGTCGATGCTCAACCTGCGCCAATGGTTGGCATTATCATCTGCTGACTTGTTGCCGTAAACAAGATACGAATAGTCATGTTAACAGTCAACGTCCGCAACGGATAGGGCAATGGAAGAAGAAGATTGAATGAACGCGTTAGTGGCGTAACAAGTAACAATATTATTGTCACTTATTAATCCTTTTTTCAAATTTCAACAGCGGATAGTACAAACAGAAAACTTTTTTACTATTATTTTAACAATTTCTCTCGAAATTTTCTTGTATTTTCCGCGATATTTTGGTCTTATTCGAAATTCGCGTTTCTCCCGCCCATCGCCGGCGACCCATTTTAATGTTTTCCGCCTCCGCCGCATTCGACACCAGCGTCGCCCCATATCGGGTCACGTTACTCATAGGGTCGCGTAACCATTTTTACGAAAACACCCTCCCCCGCCCGCTTCTAGTCCCATCGCGATTGAATTACCCGCGGGGAACGTTTCCGGTCGGTAAAGGTTCCGTCTTACGAAAAATCTTGCGGGACGGCGAGCCGTTGATCGAGAAAATCGACGTCGCCAGCTCGGTCGGCTCGGGCTTCAACGAGAATATGTCGCTCTGGTTCCGTATGGTACGAGCCCTGAAAACAGAAACCGCCGGGAGTGGTCCAAAATTAACCAAGCAGTGACGCCATTTTCCTGCTCATTAACGTCTCCAGGCTGAGAGAGAGAGAGAGAGCAACGCTCTGGTTTTCAGAACTTTCGAAAATTTGAGGTGAACAATGTCTGTCTTTTCGAACACCTTTCTCTCGGCGACACGTTTGACCCAATGTGACCATTCGACTTGATCTAATGTCAGGCGAGCTCTCGCCAACACGTTCACTTCATTGCAGTGAATTGGAATGACCCCGTAACGCAGTCGGCGTGAATTTTTAAGTATATTTTATTTCTAGAAACTACTCATCTGACCCAAAAAATAAACATGCTATTTGGAAGACAATTTAATATGCTTTAGTATGAGTTTAAATTTGTCAAGAGTGTAGAAATGAAACGTGTTCATACAGTAGGTATAGCGATAGTAACAAACTTGTTATAAACTTAAGTTAATCCTCTTCGTTTTTAAGCATTTGGACAGCGTTTAATTGTGGTAGCTTGTGTGGAAGTTCGAAGACTAAACGACTACAAAACTTACTCCAGATCATCGACAAGCACACCTACGCTTTGCACGGAATCATCTGAATTGGACATTGGGCCAAGAAAACCAGGAGAACGATTTGCGGAATGCAGCATTGAAGAGCGGAGCCCTTATGTTTTCATTCTTAGAGGCGGCCGTGGTCAAGGAGTAGGAGGTTTAACGGGTACTAGGTACATCGAGGATGTTTTATCAGATCACGTGGTACTATACGAGGGCAGCGCCAAAATTTCCCGGCCTGAATATGAAAGAAACAAAGTAGAGTAACAATTTTTTATTATTTTTCAATATAAAATCCCCATTAACTTCTCTTACATCTCTTTATTAACAACTCAATCCCGTTAAAAAAATATTCTTTTGGTTTGTCTGCAAAATGGGCTAAAACAGTCTCTTTTAACTCAACTTCGTCGTTAAACCGCCGTCCACGAAAGCCCTTTTTGAAATATCCAAACAAATAATAGTCGCTGGAGGATGATCTATTTGTTGGAACCCACACTCTAAAATGGCAGCTTGTGCAACACCAGCAGTACGGTGTTGCGTAATATTTACAATTGACCGTGGTATTCGTTTCTTTCAAATCTATGAAAGAATTCCTTCATAATCCCAAAAGATCGTGGTCATCACCTTTTTTGTGATGACCACGCCATTGATTCTTTTTTCGGTAGAGGGTCATAATAAAGAACCACAGTTTCATCTCCTATCACAAAAGTTTCCATCACAGGCTTCGGTTCCGACCCACAGAGTTCCATAGACCGCGCACACTCGACACGGCGTTGTTTTCGAATAGCCGACAGGTTTTTAGGAACCCATCTTGCACTAACCTTATGCATACCTAAATGATCGTGCAGGATTCGACGAACACTTGTATCAGAAAGCTTAGTAATTTCCTTGACCTTTAAACGTCGATCACTCAATACCACCTCTTCCACAATCGCAACAATATCTTCCGTTATGACCTCCACTGGTCGACCAGTTCTTGAATTATCTTCAAGGGACTCCTGCCCCATTCGAAACACAGACCACCACAGAATGCGAAGGCGAACTTTGGCCGCACGCACCATCCAGTCTTTTTTTAACAATTTTAGGTGCTAACCCTACTTTTGTCAAAAACTCTATACTCAATTTGCGTTATTTGCGACATTTTTTCGGACACGTCTTATTAAATTGTATTCCAAATAGCATTTTTTTTTTATTTGATCAGTAGCTTCTAAAGAAAAAAAAATTAAATTGAAGTCGCAAGAAAAGTTCGCAATGGGGTGATACGCGTCATCTGTCTAAGTTTCTTAAGTTTCTATTTAACCCTCTGAGTAAGATAATGCCCATTGCTAGCCGTCTTATCTCTTTTGTAAAATTTGCCTCATTTTCCTATCACGTTGATACCTTTCCAGTTTATATGTTTAGAGGTAAGACACACGAAGGAAAGGTGTGTTTCGATTTGAAGTTTACATTATTACTTTTGCTGTACCTGGGTTTGTTGGGTTCACCCGTTTCGGCCTTGGCGCGAGCCTCCTCAACTCCCGGGACGCGACTATCGCTAGACCGCTCCTGTCAAACACGAAAACTGACCCAAATCTCACGTACCAGCCGTATACGCTACAAGAAATACCGTCCGTGAAACGTCGTCGTTTTTCTCATTCTTCTGCGCTAAATCTTTTCGGTTTTCGCTCGCGTCTGAAGGGACGACGGTTCCGGTCGGCCGGATCACTTGCTCAGAATCCTCCATGACGATTCAAAACAAAAACCGCGAGGAATCTACACTTTGCGCGACGCGAATTTGTGGATGGCAAGGTCCGTCAATCGTTTTTGACAGGTTTCATTGTTTCCACGGAATACTTGTTTCCCTCAAACGGTGTAACCACAGCGATTTTGGGAGCAGTCGGACCATGAATTCTCCCGATCCGATCCTGACAGACTGGGCTAGCCAAAAGGCGTACTAATTATAAAATTGCAATGTGGAAGTTTCTTTTTCTTCATGTGCCCCTTCTCATCGAAGATTCTTCTCGTCTTTCCGCTGTTCTGATGAGGGTTTGGCGTTGATTCCAGTCTATTCTCGTATATTTTCCTGTCCTGTCAATTTTACCTTTGATGTATGCCAGTCCAGGCCTTTCGCTTTTTCATTGTTGTTGTATTACTTGTATTTATTCAGATTCGTATAAAGCCATATAAATTGGGCGATATGTCGAATCGATAATAAACAATAAATAAATACCAATGTTGATGTTAATCTACCGTGTCAACAGTAATAAGAATATTAGTGAAATTTCATTCCCAAACTGTTGAATTCGTATAAATTGGTGCCACTTAAACAAACGCGGCGTATGCCCAAAATCCCTGTCAAACGTACAGCAGTTTAGATTCGCTCCGTGTATATTTTTATCACGTAGAGAAGAGCGTCAGCGGCGAGTGAATGATCAGATAAGGAATCTCTGCAGGACCTGATTGGCCCAGACGGAAAGCAAAAGTTTTCGTTTCATATCTCAATTACGAAGAAACGATTGTTTACGACTTCAAGGAGTACCGCCTCGGGATTCTGGTTCTCTAGGACTAAAAACAAGAAAGAATCTATGCTACTGTTAAGGGTCAGTGCCGTTCGTGGCATGAGTACGCACACTTCTACTGAACTGGCTAGGAGAAATTAAATGATCCTCAGCAGTCTGCGACTATTTTACTTCGTTTCAGAATATCTTCCGCAAAGTACAAGAAGGTTCCGGTGTTGTCAAGCTTAGTGGGAAATAATATTTATACTACTGTAATATCCCTGTGATTGTTGTACTTATTTTTTAGTGCTATGTAAAAGCGTTAGTATTTTAGCAATACTGTTATTTTGTTTCTTACAAATAACCGCCAAGATTGCTTCTGATTAAAATTAGCAAGAATTTCGTATTATATTTTTCGTATTTGCTGTAAAAATTCAAAAACCCTTTGGATGATCCTAATCATAATGCTGTATTCTCTTTTGAACCTCGTTTTCTTCGTACACGATTAAAATCACCGTTTTCCTTTTGTACGTTTTCCTTTCGGCATATCCCACAAAATTTGGGTACGACACGATCGCGTTACGGCCCTGTCCTACGTCTTAAGTCTACACTCTGCGACTTTGTAGATGCACAGGTCCAGTACCGATCGACGCTAGTACCGAGCAACCTCGGTCGTTCGCAAAATGGCGCCAAGTCGGTGACGAACGTTTGCAACAATCGCATCAGCAACTTATCGTAACTTTGTTGGTTAAATTTTGGAATACCGAGATTGCTGACCGTGAGTCAACGACATTTGACTCATTTTTCCGACGGGATCGTGTTAAATGTGACTGTATCGACATCCACGCGAAGGTTGTTTCTAATTTGTTCCAAACGACGGGCGGCATTGAGTTTGTTTTTAATTAGCAAGGTTCGAAAAGTGTGGTGAGCGTTATAAATAGTAGAAGAGACGCATCAACCGGGGTAGGTACGGAATTATTTCAAAGCCTTTTTTGTTTACTCCTCCTCGGATGGGCTTGCGGTTGATTTAAAATTATAATTTGGGCAGGCGACGTTCTCCTCGAAGCAATTAGTTTAGCAAAATTTATGCAAATCGTGTGTACATACGCGCGTCCTAAAAATACTTATTGCGCGTTAAGAGAAACATTTAGGATCGTTTAATTGACCTGTCATGTTCTTAAATTTGCTCGTTATTTTTAATTATAGTTTGTTCGTTCTCGACGGCGAAAGAGGGAGAAAGAGAGAGAGAGAGAGAGTAGCGAATTGTTTGTAAAATGTGAAAATCATACTGCTTTACGGCATCGCTGAATAAAGTAATATCAAGAAATATTTTACACAAATCGGGTGTCCGCGATGGATTTCATTAGTGAACACTAAGATAACACTTCTCTGAATAAAAATTAAAATCTTGGGATCGGTTTTTAATATGGGGTAAATAGAAGTCACAGTTATTTCAAACTGGTTTTTAATTTTATCAATCGACCACTGTCAAAAGCCATTTGTTTATTATTATTATTATTATTGTATTAATATTATATTTTAATATTTTGATTTTCAATCAAGACAGTTTATTACTGTGCCCATATGTGGGAGTTTATAATAAATGAAAAAATCCTATAGAACGCGTTAATATAATTCACAAGGGTCTATGGTTGTCTTTTCGGTCCTTCCTTCCACAGGCTACAGATCTTCTGGATTCCTCAAATGTTAATTAGTTACTTAGGAGTCACCTAATTTTAACTTTTAATAATAATATCTATATCTTTTAAGTAGATCCAAAAGTGGGAACGTCGATCGGCATAATACAAATTCAACGGCCAAAATGTAACTTATTAAAAAAAATTGTTTTGCATTTTTACATAGTCACAAAATTGACTCTTAAATTCTTTCAGAACATTATGGTTTTTTTTTTCATATTTAAATGAATCGTCAATATTTAAAGTTTTTTGGCCAATTGAACATTTTCTAATATACTTTTCCAATATATCATCTCCAATCTTATAGTACAGCATGTGTCGTCAACGATAGACGGATTTCTTACAAGTAATCGATCACATTGGAGCCTTCTTATCTACCTTAAGTTTAATATTTTCGTCCACTATGCCGCACTGCGTTGTACTTTTCAAGTATTGTCAACATTTTATAAGTTAATTTTCTACGGTTAAATTTAGTCGCACCGAACACTGACAAACTTTCAAAATTCATCTTTCCTCAACATTAAGCAAGCCGCTGCGCTTTCAACGAATATTTCAAAACTGGAACTGGATCCCACTTTTTCGGTGTCTTCCAGAATCGGGCAGCGATCCCGTCGTATCGTCGTCCCAATCGCCCCTCGCAGGCCCCGGCCCCGGGGGGCACAAGGCCTCCTTCAAGAGCACCAAGCTAGCGCGCAGGGCGCGTTCCTTCAAGGACGACTTCCTCGGCCGAATATCCCAGATGCGCAGCCCGGGAAGCACGGCGGTCCACATGGGTTCGTTGCCGCGCACGCAGAGTCCCAAAGGCAACCCCAAGGACCCGGCGACCGACCACCGCGACGGCTACATCAAAGGACCCAAGCAGGAGCTGGACGCGATGTGGAAACAGACCCAAATCGCGTTAAAACACCTAAGGTACCCATCCGCGTGGAATTATTTCCACTCCGAGCCATTACAATGGCGGTTTCAGGGACGTGGTGTCCAAACAGAAGCTCGAAATGCTTCCCGGGAACGGAACCATCGTCTTGGACACCGTCTGGTCGATAAATTTAACGATAAAGTCGTCGATATCGATAGACAAGCCGAGCGCGATCGCGTCCGCCACCCACCGGGTATTCCAAACCGTCGCCAGACTTATCAAACTCTGTGACGACGCGCTTATAGACAACCAAAGCTCGGAACTGAAAAAAGAGAACGTCAACGAGATCGTCGAACAGGTCGAAGACGCGGTAAAGAACCTCATTCAACTGGCCCAAGACAAGATCGCCCAACAACAACTCACCTACAAGACCACCCCTAGGTCGTCGTTCGGCAATTGCAATGCGGACACGCAAACGCAGCGTAACTCCCTCCCCGACATACCCCTTACGCCGAGAGAGAGGGAGATTTTGGAGCAGACCTCGTGCGCTTTAACCGTGAGGAGTAGTCACAGCACCGAGTCCGTTTTGAGAGACTCCAGTCCTCCTCCTAAGCCACCCTTGCCCAACAGGTACGCTCGTCTATTCTTAGAAATACCTCGAAGAGTTTCTGACGTGTTAAATATGCTTGCGCAGCCTCAGAAGCAGGTCCGAGACGAACAGCTGCACGAGCCCGCCCCCCCTTCCGCCAAAGAAGAAAAACCAAAGGTTACATCATTTAGTGGACGAATCCTTTAGCGTCAACAGTTCGCCCATATGTAGTAGTTTAGAGAAGTAAGTTCGCGATCGAAATTTATTTCGTTCCGCGTTTAAAGATGACGGTTGCAGGGTTTCCGTGCGATCCAAATCCCCGGACGACTCCATATCGTTGCTCTCCGAAGGTACGGGAAGCATAGACTCCATGTTGAACCATTCGTCGAAGGAGGAGGACGAGATCAAGGCGTTGATGGAGTGCGACGGGGACATGTTCGATAACCACACCTCCGACATATTCGGTATAGGTATTTATCAAAAATTGCACCCGCGACCGGAGAATATTGCACGAAAATTTCCCGGCCAGGTTCTAACTCGTGGGAAGAATCGTCTTTAAGTTCAGCCATATCCAACCACAACGTCGACCTGCACACCTCGGTCAACGATTACCATCGGCTTTCGAACACCGATTCGGGTATCATGTCAATTCGGTCGTCGAGCTATTCGAAGCGCAGTTCGCAGCAGAGTTCCCTGAGGTAGACGACGTTTTCCTTTGAGACGACCTCTATTCGACGCTCGACCTTAATTTTTAGTTCGCAATTTACCATGAGGCAAATGAACGACGCGTTCGACAACCAAACGTTCTTGAGAAACTTTTCGCAGAAGGTGAGCGCCTCCAATTCGATGCTACTGGTCTCCAACAGTTCGCATTCGATCAAGGGATGCTACGAAGTAAAAGGCGACGACGCGCCTCCCGCCATTCCCCAGAAAACCAAGAAGAAGACTGATAGACAACCGTCGCCTTACGATAACGTACCCGATGAGAACTCTTTCGGTAAGGAATCGTTTAGTGCACCGCCCGTCCTTGGAAAGCGACGATAAACGTTTTAGCCGTGGAAGATGTCCAGGGTGAGGTTCTAGTCAGCTGCCACCATCACCAAACTCACCAGCACGCGTCCCAAGACTTCGACGAGGTAGACAGTGTCAAACCTCCGCCGTTACCGCCCAAGAAGAAACACAGTAAGTAGAGACAAGAAAATGTATAATTAGCCTCCTCCGGACCTGCGTATTAAGTCTTTGAATAGCGTTAGATTCGTGCCGTAGGCGAAATTTACCGGGTAGTTTTACGATTAAAGGCTTTCTACAACGGTTATGAAACGTTCGAGTCGTTTATCTAACTAGTAATTTTGCCCTATCAGTGTTCCAGTCTGTGGCTTATAGTGGTAAGTTATCGAGCTGTTAGCCGTGTTGTGTTGCACTGTCGCTTGATGTCGATGCTTTCCTCGCTCTATTTAGAACCACTCGATACTCCGCGCCAAATGTCAAACTGGCAGCTGTTCCGTTCGCGTGCGCTTTTGCTGACGTTGGCACTTCGGACCGAAATTTGAATTAATTCTTTGCTTGACGATTGACTTAACGGATATAGAATAATTCCATTTTGTGTTGTCCGACCGACTGACTCCACGTGTGTTTAACCTTTCGTTATTAGTCCTTTGGTCGCGTTTCCTACCTTTGACAACTTCAATGGAACCCGCAATTTCCTTGCAGTAATGGCTTACATGGAGATGTTCGGCAACTGCTCGCACACGAACGATCAAGAATTCATGAGGCATTCCGTGCACATGGTACAATCTCAGTGGCAGCCCTCGATACCCGGCCTGACGAGTACTCAGTCGTGCTCGTTCAGTCACACGATGCACAGTACCAGCAGGTCGACTCACGCGCAGGGCCAGTTGCTGAGTCTGCCGCCACATTCCAATTTCGACCAACGGTCAGTACTATCGAGTTTGTGTCGAAATATTCTACGGTCTAGCGTAATTACAGAGGCCCATCTCCTTTACATTCCCCAAACGCTGCGACCCTATCCTCCTCGTCATCGTCTAACAGTTCGGTAGTGCCGCCCGCATTGCCGCCGAAACAAAAGTCCCGCAAGTCGTCGTCCAAGTCACCGCCCGCGACGCCCACGGGCACGCTGCTGATCGACTGCAAACCGTCTAGTCAAACTCCCTCGCCGATACCCCCCAAGAGCCTGCCGGACCTGCTGGAGCACACGGGCGGCGCGACCAAAATCCAAGAGGAAAAGTCGGACTCGCCCGAAGTGACCGTCGCCGACGTAGACTTGATGGAAGAGTTCAACGTGGATAAGTTCCTGGTGTGGAAGAAACCGGAAGAAGAGGGTCCCGACATTAGGGGCGGACCCGTCGACGCCTTGATCATCCAGGCGACCAAGGCTACTAAGAATGGAGGTTAGTTTCTAGTGGTCGTTGCTGTCATAAGCCCGAGGTCCTAGACTCTGAGTTTCTGTGGTCTGTGACCTCGGGAAAGGTACTCCCCTTCCCTATTTATCTCGATCGTAGGCGTTTTCTCTGAGATAATGTGTTTATGCTGTGTTAAATGCAGAGGAGATGGATAGCGGTACGTAAACTTAATGTTAAGTTGTCGTGGCAAAACGATCTTTAATTTTCCGCGTGCCATTTTGTTTAAGTCCCAATTGCGCGGCGGTTTCAAAAGCGAAGACGAAATAATTGCGACTTAAATAAAATGGAACTCTTCTTCCCCTCTTTTCTCTGTAGTATTCCAGTCAAATTTCATTTACCTTTCTTTCATCCACATCGTGACTGTCAAAGTCTCCAGAGTTTTGATCATGCGTTCCAGTAACTGGTAACGCCAATCAACTTTTTGTGATGGTCTTTGCCAACCGATTTGGTGGTTGAAGCTCTTTCTCGCTGCCTCGTTTCAGTTTTCGCGTATCAGGAAGCATTCCTCACCACCTATCGTACGTTCATAGCGCCGGTGGACCTCATCGCGAAACTCATACGAAGATATAACCATTTCTACTACCAGCAAGAGAAGAAGCCTCGATCGCGGGAAGCCTTCGCCCTGATCGTCAGGGTTGTGAACGACCTCACGTGAGTAGAAAACGGGGACCGAGAGGTCGTGTTTGTGTAGGAACGCGCGTTGTAGGAGCCTCGATTTGGACGACCCCCTGCAACACAAACTGATGAATTTCGTGCAGCAGCTGATTTCGTGCGGCGAGCTGGTGCTCGCCAAGGCTCTAAGGGTCAAGCACCTCGAGAGGCACGCGGCCAAGGAACGGTCCCTGAGGTACACCAACGTCGTCAGCAGTTTATCGTTGAGCGCGCGCAACGCGACCTTGCTCGATTTCAAATCGGAACAGATCGCCGAACAGATGACGCTGCTCGATGCGGAACTGTTTATGAAGATCGAGATTCCCGAGGTGCTGATCTGGGCTCAGGAGCAGAACGAGGAGAGGAGCCCTAACCTCACCCGATTCACCGAGCATTTCAATAAGATGTCCTATTGGTAAGTGGCTCAGCGACTCAGATCGTTATAGCATTCGGTGTTTCGCATTCTCAGGGCACGAACGAAAATTCTAACGGCAGAAACTAAAGAGACTCGCGAAAAGTACTTCATGAAGTTCATCAAGATCATGAAACACCTCAGGAAAATCAACAACTTCAATTCCTATTTGGCCCTGTTGTCGGCGCTCGACTCGGCTCCGGTCAGGAGGCTAGAGTGGCAGAAACAGGTCCAAGAGGGTTTGAAGGAGTATTGCGCCCTTATCGACAGCTCGTCGAGTTTTAGGGCGTATCGCATGGCGTTGGCCGAGACGCTACCCCCGTGTATTCCCTACATGTGAGTGTTTCACCCTTAGCTTTGCTCGAGCAATGGGATCGCGTTACGTTTTAGCGGACTGGTGCTCCAGGACCTGACGTTCGTCCACATCGGTAACAGCAACCTGCTGCCCGACGGCACCATCAACTTTTCGAAGAGGTGGCAACAGTACAACATCGTGGAGAACATGAAAAAGTTCAAGAAAGAGTGAGTGGGGGTTTGGGTTTCGCCTCTGTCGTGACCGCGGGCTCATTTTTCAGGACCTACTCGTTCAAGAAACAAGAGAAGATCATCCAGTTTTTCCAAAACTTCGACGATTGCATTGGCGAGGACGCCATGTGGAAACTGTCGGAGAAAATCAAACCGAGGGGCGGTAAGAAGCCGCTTTAACCGGGCCGCGACGTTCGTACGGTAGACCTCTTAAAGCAATACGTCTGAAGAAATCGATTTTTGTGCAATTATTACGCTAGCTACTTGGTTAAGTACGACAATGCATCACTTTCTATTGGTTTAGGGCGGCCGCGGCAATCCGATAACCCTTTTTTTCGAAATCTCCGCCTCCCGCAAGTCCCCCGATGCCCGACTCTTCAAAGTGAACCTTCTAAAAATCACTATACGCCGAGTTGTTTCACCCAAACTAGTCTCTTCAACCGTGCCTCCTGAAAGTGATCCCTGAACCCAAGCTGATCCTTGCCTGAGGCGGGTGCGGCGAAAGAAAATATTAATCGAAAAAGGGGGGCTCGAGTTCGCGGCCATGTAAAAGCTTTAACGTGTTTTAATTCTAGTAATATGTTGATGAACGCGCGTGGCGCTTTCCACGCAACCATTTCCTCGGCTTGGTGTAACAAGACTGATTTATGCTATATCGTAGTAGATTGTAAATTTTCGCCGATTTTAAGGGAGGGGATAAAGGCGGAAAGCCGCGTTTATTACATCGAAACTACTGGAAGAATCTTTCGCTTTACGTCCTTGCAATTCGTGCAAAATGGCATAGAAAAGAAACCATTATGGGGTTTTGTTCTAATGATTTTCGCTTCACCGACCTAAACGTAGGCGGGGCTTGACGTCACAGTAAACGCTAACTGAACTATCTTAGAAAAAGTATTATATGAACTGTATATGCGGCAACACTGTTTCTAGTCAGGAACGCGGAGGCAACTTTGTCGACAAACAAGAAAACGTTGCCATAGCTAGTAAAAATTAGTTAGGTAGTAAAAAAAATAACATACTTTCGTTTTCGGATTATATAAATTTTAAAATTATGAATGTTAGGGTAGGATCAGATTTTAAACTAAAACTTAGGTGTCCACTAATTTATTAGGCGAATACAAGACCCATACAATTTTTAGATAAGAAATTGTTTATTTTTGGAGGATTTATGAAAATCTGCGAGTTAAAAATTAATTATGATATTTTCGAGGGCTGATATGGAAGGATGAGCTACTTTGGATCACACTCGATCAAATGGGAAAATTTCGTTTCGACATTTAACTTTTACGCGCCGCACAACACATCACAGATCGCGAGGTACTTTTGCAAAAATCGCGGTTTTTTACTTGATATACTCCCGCCAAAATGACAACAACGACGTTAGTGAATTATTGTGGCTAAAAATTATGGTTTAATAGGCAATCCTATGGCTGATCGGTGCGGTCGCCGGTGAGCGGACCGACCAAATAGGGTTCCCTACTTAAATTGAATGTCGCGGATCCCAACAGCAAAAACTATTAGAAGGCCTAATTAAATTATAAGCTAAAAATGGGTACAAAAAGTACAGGGTGGGCACTTTATTACGGGCCTGTGCTTTTTCTCAGGAACTAGTGATTTAAAAAAAAAAGGTTATACAAAAGTTTAAAATTGTTTATTTTTCTATATATACAGTGTGTCCGGCTGGCAGTAATGACTACTTGATCAAATTTTAGTTTTAGAAGACTTCCTTCTAACGATCTACGATAACTAGGTATTTTAGAATTATATAGGGTGTCTTAAAGGATATTTTTTTAAATTTCAATTTGCAGTATATTTTTTCTTTAAATGAGCCGCCCATGTTTTTGATATTTTTTCTCAAAGCAGGTCAAAATACCAATAATTTGGTATGTCCTAATGGTTTTCGAAATACTGACACCTAGTTATTTTAAAGAATTTGAAAAAAGCATATCATTCTTATTTTTTAATTTATTTTCAGCATTTTTGCAACGGGTGATTTTTTATAACGTCTACGATGTAAAATAATATGTATAAAAATGATAGAAGTTCAAAAATTTAACACAAGTAGCAGTAACAAAATCGATGTTATTTAGCTGCACTACAGCTTCACTAATACACCTTTGTAGTTCATTTAACGTAGTGCCTCTTTCTTTATATACCATATCTTTAATTTTCCCCCCTAAAAAAAAGTCCAGTGAGGTAATTTCTGGATTTCGAGGTGGCCCCCAGACGTTTCCATTTTCTCCTATCCAAAGATCGCAATTTTGATTTAAAAATTCAGTGATCTTGCTGCCACATTAATTGAGCACGTTAACAAGCCTGTATTTCATTTACCATTAATGCTCGTATTTCATTTCTGAGCATATTGAAATATCGTCTAGAGTCCAAGTTTTCATTAAAGAAAATTGTCCCTATAACCTTTGATCGGTATATTCCGCACCACACTTTCACAGATCGTCTTGTCGTTTTACTTCGAACACCCTTTTCTTATTTTCATCACTCCAGTAAAATGTGTTTTTCCGATGTATGAAAATTCGACTCATCGGTCTAAATTATATGACGCAAGGCGTCATCAGCGAAATGCATGTCCATTAAAAAATTGCAACAGTTATGGTCCTGTTCCTCTAGATATTGCCCGGGTAAAAACTTAAATGCTTTTCGCTTCTGTAATTTTCAACAAATTCTGAGGCTAGTTGATCAGTGCTTGATTAAAATCACATCTGTCAAACTCTGACACTTAAATATAACGCCACTTAAAACAAACACTTATTTGGGTACCACAGCCAACTAGGGTGAAAAGTAAGTTTCATAATAATATTATTGTGCCCTTAAAAAAATGGGAGTTTTTTACTATTAATGAAAACTTTATTTAAATATGCCAAATCTTAATAAATTGTCCCATCATTCGTTGAAACAATCATTAAAATTAAATAAAATATAAGAAAGATAAGCCATTATAGAATATATATACCAAATTATAGGTATTTTGCACCAGCTTTGAGAAAAAATATCAAAAACAAAAAATAATGTCGCACTTATCGGACACACTGTATATATAAAAAACAAATAATTTAAAAATTTCATTTAAACCATAAAACTATTGTAGTAACTGTTTTTTTCTAAAATCAGTAGTTCCTGAGGATAGGTACAGGCCACTAATAAAGTGCCCACCCTGTACGCTATACCTACTTATGATGTAGTCTTAGGCGATAAATAATAAATGTGTTTTCTTCAAAAGTGATCTTAGTGAGCGGTGTCTTAGAATGTTCCGGAATGGGTTTTTATGTTTGCCTGTCTACGTGCCGTTTCGCGGATGGAAATTTTTAGGTTAACGCGACAATCTTTAGTACAAATATGCATTAAAAGGGAACGCAATCGGCACGGGCAACCATATAAATCCATGACTCGCTTCATCGTAATAAAACTTTACGCGAAAACGGAGTAGTCATCGAACGTATTCACCCCGATCGGAATTTCGGCCACGGCTTAAGATTAAAATAAAGATATAACCCATCTACAAGCAAAGTTTCGGTCAACTATTCGTGGCGGTTGCATCTTATTTGTTGTAAAAATGTAATAAGTTATTTATTTTAAACGTAAGTATTCGTTCATTGCGATTCATAGGTACTTTTGCGATTTTGACCGCACCCGTTTCGGCAGTTGGCGTCAAATTAAATACCAAATAGTCGCATACTTTCCAGCAGTATTATTTTTTAAGTTAGATTAAAAGAAAAACGTACGGTGCCAATTAATTTTAAGCGATTTAATTGACAACTAAATCAAAATGGAAGCGCCTATGAACTTAACCTAAGCCTGTTATTAACTTTTTTTTGTTGTCTTCTATATATATTTTTTGTAACATTTTATTGTACATGCTTTTTTAAAAAATTTAGTTCTACTTTGAAGTAATAATTCTGTATACTTGTAAAATATTAATTAAAAAGTGTGTGATAAGGGGATTTTCATTTAGATAACTTCACCCTTAATGAAATAACATCCCTTTACCTTTTTACTTGCAGTAGATGGGATCTACCTTCAGATCTTGCGGAGTGTTCTCGCACTCTGTTGCCACAAAGTCTGCATCTGGCACCTCTCAAACATAGACGTGATAATTATTAAAATCACTAGGAATTACATTTGCAATTATATTACACACAACTGTTGACTGTCAGAAACTCTTACAAAAGAAAATTCGACAGCGTTCTGCGCCATCTGTCGGACGGTAGTCAATCCATAACGCGACTCGTCGGTTTGCCGAGAGATGATATACCCGACTCTAATTTGCATATAAATTAAAATAAGCTTATTTTTTCGGGGTGTTCTGGTATCCGTAATAATTACTCCGTGCGGCTCAGGGAGTGTCAGATTTTTTTGACTTTTTCCAATCGAACTACGTATGACACAGTGTGCTTTTTATTCATATTGTTATTGCTAAAGTAAATACAGCTCTGCCATATGGATATATCACGAAATACACAACTTTTTACGCATCACCTGGCAAATAACACTCGACGTATAGATCAAAAGGCCGCACATCCGATATTAATAACGATTTTTGTTAAATTTCTGACATTGTTTGCTCGAAAACAGATTAATGTTTGTTGATGTTCTTATTCACTCCCGCACGTTTATCGCGTTTTATTTTGTTTTAGATAAACCCGAAGTCTGGTTAACAGAATATTGGAATTATTACGCGAACGATCCGCAAAAATGGTTTTTAAATTATTTGATTCATCCGCGCCGAAATTCTTTGAATTTCATGAAGCCGAAACCGCTTATCGGAAGTTACCTCAAAAATTACAATTAGTGTTGTTTCTATTAAATAAATAACTACAGTTTAATAAAAAACACTTTTTAAATATTCTGTTTTTAACCTACGTTTTGAGTACAACAATTTCAATTACTTCGACAAGAGGATTAATAATAGCGAAGTTCAAATCCAACAAAAATAAGTGCAATTGAAACGAAATTCACGTCATTTTTTTCAAAATTCTGGAATGTTTTCAAATAACATAAAAACAATCTTCATTCAAACTTGACAACAAGGAACAGTCCAACAGCCAAAACCTAACTTGTGATAACCTAAAATGTGATAGTGAATTCATATTTGGCGTAACTATTGTATTTCACTGTCACTTGTTCAATTCGAATTCAAATTCCTCATTGGTTTCGAGCACTACTCTAAAGTATATAGGAATAAGTAATAAAAAAACAGACAGGAAATATTTAGTTTTAATTATATCGGCCGAAATAAACAAATCTTATAGGAATATAAGTATGACCGTCGGAGGACAATCGGAAGAAGACAAATTCAACAGCCAAGCTGTAACTAACAAAAATAAAATTGCTTAAAAAAATATTTACGCGACTAAGTCACTAAACAGGTAATTTAAAAGAATTTTTTGCTAAGTATATTTGTTGTTTATGTTTATTTATATTAAAATTTTAGACCTTTGAAGCAAAAATCCAATCAAGATGCTTGCTCTGGGAACCGCCCCTTTGGAGGCACAAATACGTGGTCCAAACCGTTCTACACGAAGAAAATCAAAAAGCCCACACACGCGTCGCGTAAAAGCGGCGTCATAGAGCGCCCCGACGCTTTCGCCGGTGAGTATAAAAGCGTGCGGAGCGCTCGTCTGGTAGTCTCAAAAGTTCCCCGTCCTTCCGACTTCCTCCAGATCAACAGGTGGAGTTGAGAAAAGAAGTCCAGTTGCCACCTCGCCATCCTCAACCGTCTGTTGCTTTTCTGACGAGCGTCCCGACGCCCGATAGTTTCGTCGACGCTTTTCTGGGACCGGAAGCAGCAGGTTGTCCGACCAACAGGTAGGCAAAATCCTCTTTCGATTCTTTTAGCTACGCCACGTCGCGATCGGAGCGGATTTAGTCAACTTCTTAATTGAATTCATTTGCAAAAATTGTTTTGTCCATTTGATATACTGCTTTTAAAATTGCGTTACAAGATCTGCAAATGGTGAGAAATACCAACGGATAAACTTTCAATAAAATGGGTGTAAAAAGACAATACAATCCTTTGATTTCATATTACGGACTACTTTATTTCGAAATCTAACCAAAATCAACAATTTATCAAAAGTAAACGAAGAACTTGCGCTTTGATTGTCAACTCAGGACTGACATTTTGGTTATTAGTACGCCTAAATGTAGTAAATACTATGTTTTGAAGGAATAATGGCATTTTCTATTGATTCCTTTTGCGTGCGGAATTATACAGGGCGCCCCAAAATAAAAAAAGAAGAAATGTTATCCCAAATTCATGGGATCAAAATATAACTATTTAACTTAGTCCAAAAGTGAGGTACAGAGTGCAACAAGTCCACTTTCGGTATAATTTTTCTTGTATTAACAGAAACATTTTTATTCTCAATATTTTCTAAAGCGTAGTATTAAAAAAAGGTTCATGGATTTTTAAGTTAATTTTTTTTTTTTTAATGAAAAATATATAGATAAATCATTCAAAATGACCAAAAAAAAATATCCTCAAATTTTGAGCCCTTAATTGGAAAGAATCTGTCGTTTGTATTTTCTTTTTTTTTATGTCACAATTGTGTCAAAAGAGATAAACATTAAAGATAAGAATATTTTTCTGGATATATTTTTGAAGGATAATTAATGATTTAAAACAAGTCATTCATTAAAACGTTATTCACCACTGAACTTGATGAAAAAATGAAAAATTTGTTAATAATTTGAAAAACCGGAACCCCCGGGAATGCAAACTATTTTTAAATCAATTAACCGTAGTAAATAAAGTAGCTGAACATGGTATAGCGTTAACTGAAGAATACTACAGTGAGTATCCAAAACAAATTCCAGTAAAGGCTATAATGAACAGTTAATTTTAATTCTTTACATATAAAAAATTATAAATGAATGAAATCTGAATACATAAAATGATCTTTTCAATGATCTTCGTAAATACTATTATTTTATGAGTCAGAGTCTAATTTTTCCTTTTAAATAATAACGTTCATAACAACAAAACTTTTAAATTTAAAATAATATACATATATAATATAATAATTTTCGATGATGATGCAAAAAGCTTAATCATGAATAATCTTATAACAAATATTAAGAAACCTGTTTTATAGAGCATAAAATTGCTTTTAAAAATCAGTATTGTACTTTTTTTTATATTGCGTTTTTTATGAGTTGCAAAATTCCAACATGCAAAAGTTAAATAAAAAAACTTATTAATGTTTAATCAAGATTTAAGAAACCTGTTTTATAGAGCATAAAATTGCTTTTAAAAATCAGTATTGTACTTTCTTGTATATTGCGTTTGTTGTCAGTTACAAAATTCCAACATGAAAAAGTTAAATCAAAAAAACTTATTAATGTTTAAATCTTGATTTCTTGGAAACTGTACGTATGAGATAATTAAATTTTCCCCGAAAATATATAAAGATAAATATTTTTACGTCAATCGTTTGACCGTTTTGAAGAAACCATGAGATCGAAAATGCATTTTCAATGCAAATTCTAACTCAAATCAAACAATTTTGATCTTTATATTTTAAAAAAAAAAAAAAAGGCGAATTCTTGGCCCAGTCTGTTTACCGAGAAAATTATTATTTTTGTTTTTCAACATATAGAGGGGGTTGCAAGGGGAATATTTATCAGTTTTCTAAGAAATCGCATAGTACGGCCTCTATTAAAGTTTTTTTTTTGCATTTTCCGATTGTGTTGTAGGAGATTTTAGCGTAAAGCACGCCCCTTCAAAAATGAGTACAGTAAAGGTGCGATTTGTTTGGTTCTTTTCTTTTGTCCCGAAAAACAATTTAAAACTTTCTTCTTTAAAAAAGCGACTTCCCTTCACTGCCTCCGTCGTTCAAAAAATACAAAATTTCGATAAATTTAAATGCAAATACTTCGGAAATAATTGTGGGAATTTGTGCCCCCTCCTCGTTTAATCTTCTTGTGTGGGTAAAGTAAACTTCGGAGAAGTAAGTAATTAATATTTTGTGTTTTATATTGGCAACGTTTATACTACTTATTTTGCAAAAGTCCTGGAGCACTTAAATAGAGAATATTATAAATGTACCTACTTGTACATTGTACACTGTTTATAAACACGATACACAAAGGGCCTCCTTTTCGCGTCACCTCCATTCATCGTTTGTTTACGATATATTTTACTTCGCGTCCTTGTCATTCTATTTTGCTTTTTCTTAAAAGTTGACAACTGGATTTTTACTTCGACATTATTATGAATTTGAATATTATAACAGCGCAAAGACCCTGATTTTTTTCTAAGGACTTTATTTTATTTGACACGAAAAGCGTGCGGAACAATTTTATATTTAACCATTTCTTAAACTTAAATTAAATGACGTCATGATTTCTTTTGAAATCACGTATTTTAGAAGGAAATGTCCCAATCGGATTGGGGTATGCGACTAGCCGATTTTTCAAAAGGGATCGAACTACCTAACACACAGGTCCGTCAATCCCCCCCCCACATACATTCGGTATCCCCATAAACAATAGCCAAAGAAACAAAGCAAACTTTGCTCACATTTTTTAGTATATTATGCAACAAGTGCGGTAAAGGGCATGTGACTCACGAGTTTTTAATAACCGAGTGAGGTAAAAAGTTTACAGAACGTGTTGCATACTATATTTTTTCTACGACCATTAGTTGTTGGGTGCATTTTCGCAAAACAACACGAATACATTCACTGACATTACCGTCAGAATTGACAATTGACAAAAGTGGCTCGCATTCATGGGAAACGAAACTGACGTGGTAAAGTGACGCTTCCCGCACACTAGATCGGTGGGTAATTACGTATTTTACAGACTGGAGTAGAAAAAATCTTTTAATGGGTGGTAAATGAAATTTGAAATTTTGCTCACCTATCTGAGGAAAGAAACCTTCCAGAAAAAAATTAAAGTTTTCTTATACCATTTGTGAAAAATATTACATTCCTTTCCAAGCTAACCACATTCAAACGTTTTTAGATCATAGGACTCTTTGGATTTCCGATTCCGATATCCGATTTGACTTTAGGCCATTTTATGGTATATTCGTATAAATCTGTGGACAGAATTCGATGATAGAAATACAAATGACAATATCCGTCGCAAAAATCGTTGGAATCAAAATGATACCAAAAAATTAAAAATGTTTTTATTTTTATTTGGTTATATATTATATATTTTGTCAAATAGTTAAAGAAAACAGTTTTCATATCGAACCTGTCAACAATTATGAATTTCAAAGCAATAACAATTTTGATTTTTTTTCAGCGTCGTAAGTTTTCCCAGAAAAATGTGCAAAATTGGATATAAGAAAGTTTTATTTAGTTGAGGAGTAATTTTGAACATAACTTTCGCCAAGGAAGCCGTGCCAAATCTCAAATTGCTGATAGAAAATTAAAAAAAAAATTTGGAAGAGCAGAGTACTCTGTTTACCACCATGTATTTTATTTAAAAGAATATCTTACTTATGTAGTCAAAAAATTACAAGACCAAACCAACACCTAATTTAAAACACTATGAGAAGAAGCATAGTTACATATAGTTGCGAGGCATCACCGGTAAAGAATAAAAGTATGATACAAACGAACCAAAACTAATGTGGTACAGACGCGTCCAAGAATTGAAGATCACCTACCCAAGCAAATACTTAGCTGGACGCCTACACGGAGAAGAAAAAGAGGAGGTCCAAGAGAGAGATAGGCTCCATGGCATATACGTCAAAAATTTCATTTGCAGCGCTAACTCGGCCTGTAGAAAATGGCCTTCTGAAAAAATTTAACTGGTAATTTATATTATTTATAATGCAGGATGTTGAAGAAATATCAATCAAATTTTTTATAATCCCCACCAAAATGAAAAGTACTTCTTATCAGATTGTAGAGTATAGGTATACAGTCTCCGCAATTAAATTAGATCAAAAATTATTCAGAACTTCACAGTTATTTAATGATTTATGACAGCTGTTTATGCAACATCATGTCTTTATATATATATATATATATATATATATATATATATATATATATATATATATATATATATATATATATATATATATATATATATATATATATATATATATATATATATATATATATCTGCTGTTTTCGGAGCGCGAGCCAAGATGCCAAGTGAGATTCCAGTCGGATGCAGGATTTGCAGGATGCAGGATTCCAGTCGGAGTTCATCCGTGAATCAATACGTGAAAAAAAAAAAAAAAAAAAAAAAAAAAAATATATATATATATATATATATATATATATATATATATATATATATATATATATATATATATATATATATATATATACATATATACAGTGTGTCCAAGATAAGGATGCACAGCATGGGGATCTCGGAAACTATAAGAGATACAGTGTCGGTTAAATTAGACAAAAGTTGCGCATTTTGATACCGAACAAGATCCCGTTTTACAAATTTGAAAATTCCAAGCCGTTCCGGAAATATCCGAGAAAAACCGAAATATTGCGATTTCGTTTTTATTATTTTTTAAAGCTATTTGAAAAGATATGAAAAAACGGAAAACACTTTTCCATTGGCACTTTTTAATCTCTCCAAATTGACGTTAACAAATTTTCATTACAGCGTTTCGATTCCATGGAACCACCATCAACTTTGATTTTTCTTATGGGACGGAAAAAAAGTACACACAGTATTAGGTTGTGCTTTTCATTGCGAATTCAACGATGTACGATACAATACGGTTACTTATGTTTTTATCCAGAAAAATGGCTTTTTAATACATTTCTAGTATTTTATTGTAGTAGGCCATGAGATCCGAACGATGAAAGGCAAAA